CTGGAAAAATCGCTGGTAATGGTCTGATGAGGAAAGATGATGATCAGATCAGATCACTGTGGCGTGCCCTTGGGAAAGCCTATGTCCAGCAGTGGACTGCAAGGGCTGCAATAATTAATTGATTGAATGGATTAAAAAGTGAGGGCCTTGACACTGAGCTGTCATGCTTTATGTGCCCCTGTTCAATAACAAATGTTGTTAATTTCAGGACCATATATAGCGTGTCGTTGCCATCGCGACAATAAATGAAGACACATCTAACGCTACTTGCCAATAATCATAAAAAATATTAACGTTAAACAAAATCCATAATTAAAAAAATATTTTTGAAACAAACTAATTAAGTAAATAAGGGTGTTCTAAAATTGTTTGTTTTGGAAAATTTAATAACTCGATAAATATTGATTTTTAAAGAATGTAAATGTTTAATACAATTTTAAAAAGTTGTCCTCTATATGTCTGTTCATTTATTGTCGCGGTGGTAACGACACGTTGTATAAGGTGGACAAATAAATAACTTCCTTCTTAGTATGGAATGTTTAAGAAGTGAATTAATTTAAGAGTATTGTTGAGCAGCGAAAGATAATCGGTTGTCCGGTACCAACTAAACGAGGTTCACTATATTAATTTGAATTTTTGCATGAAACGCTAAGTCGCGCCGTCCAATTTATCGTCGTTTTTCCATTAAAAAGCATTCGGAGTAAATGCAGAAATATAAAGGGAGTCTCGGTGGGCGCGTGTCTTCCAACGACAGTTCAATGCACTGCGATATCGCGGTCGTGGTCGTTTTATGCGACCATAAATTCGGGGGTTAATGCGTTTGCGGGTAAAAGTTACATTTGTCGACTCCCCGCCGGTCTAAAGCAAAAGTCGGGTGCGGAGATGACGCGGCCGCGTTTGGAAGCGGATTAATTGGGAAACGTAACGAGTTTAACGATGATAAATATCACGAGCCGTCTCTTTTAATCTGTACTGGTTAGACAGAGATGGCTAATGCTGTTTCTCTCTCATTTTATAAAACGTATTTAGCAACAAACGTGTGAGTGGCTGTGATATCTTTTGCGAGAACGTAGCACGCCACTGGGTTTTGAAACTGAGACGTTTGAATAGAATTCCGGCGTCCCAGTCACTAGAACGTCACGGTCTTGTAAATTAGTATGATATTATTAGTTGAATGCAATAGTATCAATTAAATGACCATATGGGTCGGTGCAATGGAATGTTCTAAAGCAGTTTTTTTTCATGTGAAAAGTTGCCAAGCGAGCAGGCGGTTCACCTGAAGTTAAGTGAATGCCGCCGCCCATGGACATCTGCTACACCTGAGGGTTGCAGATGCGTTGACAACCTTTTGAAAATTGGGCTCCGGCTACCTCACTCACTAGACGAAACGCGAATGTATTTGTCATACTTCCACTTGACGCCGGTCTTCTGTGAGGTCGTGATACTTACCCGGACGAGCCTGCCCATTCGTGCAACAGCCGAGGCTGCTGCGTGGCCCAACCACGGTTAAACATTACTTTGACATTGTATTCATTTTTGATATAAAAATATAATTAGATATTTCATACTTTGCTTTTTTATGCGAGAAGGTGGGAAAATAGAATACACCTGATGTAATGCGATTTTACTTAAATATTTTTTTTTGCGCAAAATTTTGTTTTGTGTATACTATAACGTGCTTGAAACAATAGAACTTTCAATTTGAACCAAACTTACGACTCGGTCTTTATTTCATATTACAGAAAGCGTTTGATTAACTTACTCCTAACATTTTACATTACTTTAACATTTGCAATTTAGCGCCTTTAATTTATTTCTACGACGCAATTAATCAGATACATCTCCTGTGATACAACCTTAATGTTTGGATGTGCTCTTGCAATTTCGCACCGCGGCCAATTCACGAACCGAACCCGACCTCTAACAATAAATAAATCCATTGCCAAAATTATTACGATCGTATTGCAGATTGAAAGTTACAAATCGAAACAAAGGTTTAAACGCCGCTGGGTAAGATAAATCATATTATAATATAACGACAAATTCATTATTACTGTGGTATAGCAACGGACTTACAGGAGACCGGCGTGAGGTGGAAGTATTAAACTTTCGCGTTTCATCTAGTCAGTGAGGTAAGCGGGGCCCACTTTTTTAAAAGGTTATCAACGCATCTGCAAACCATCGTTAGTTGTAGTGGCTGGCGGTATTCACTTAACATCAGGTGAATTGTCTGCTCGCTTGATAACTTTTCACATGCAAAAAAATTGGAAATGTTGAGTTGGAAGAAAGTAGGCCAATTAAGTAAAGTATGTAACCTTAGAAGGAGAACTTACGGGACGTAACAATCTCTGAATCTCGTACTCGGAATCGGCAGGTTGGGAGTCATTTTTATAATTTCCGTATCTCCGACCGGGGGCATTAAGGCAGAGCCCATGCGAGTTAAAACATCGTCCTAATGGAAACAAAGCAAAAACTTAATGACGGACTCCGTATCGATGTGTTAACGTTTCGAATCGTAGCCCATTCGGAGTATACATTAAGCGTTAACTGTACATAATTATTATACCATCTCCGAGAATTGTATCAGTGTATTACGAAAGTTGTGTGACGTACATCTTCTCAATAGGCTCGTTCGGACGTGGTAAAATTCAAATTTAGAATACGGCGGCTGTCCAACCGTCGTAATATTATTGCATTCGCCAAGAATGTTTCATTAATTCTGTTTTGACTTAGTTTAGAATTAAATACTAGAGAATTAAAAAAAATTGATTATGTGTTTTAAATTCATTACATGCTGTGTTAATAAATAAGTACCCGGAGGACCGAGCTTTCCGAGATTCCGATTATATATATATATATATATATATATATATATATATATATATATATATATATATATATATATATATATATATATATATACAAGAATTTCTCGTTCAAAGGATAAGATTTTCTAAAAATTAAACCAATCAGATCGATTTTTCGCCCCCGAATCTACGCACATACTAAATTTCATGAAAATCGCTGGAGCCGTTTCCGAGATTCCGATTATATATATATATATATATATATATATATATGTATATATATACGCCCCGAATCTACGCACATACTAAATTTCATGAAAATCGCTGGAGCCGTTTCCGAGATTCCGATTATATATATATACAAGAATTGCTCGTTTAAAGGATAAGATAAAAATAGAATGATATTTAAGTACCAAACGTATATATATATATATATATATATATATACGCCCCGAATCTACGCACATACTAAATTTCATGAAAATCGCTGGAGCCGTTTCCGAGATTCCGATTATATATATATATATATATATACAAGAATTGCTCGTTTAAAGGATAAGATAAAAATAGAATGATATTTAAGTACCAAACAAATACCATACAAATAACGGTGGTAGGGCCACGCAGCAGCCTCGGCTGTTGCATGAATGGGCAGGCCCGTCCGGGTAAGTACCACGACCTCACAGAAGACCAGCGTAAAGTGGAAGTATGAGAAATACTTTCGCGTTTCGTCTGGTGAGTGAGGTAGCCGGAGCCCAATTTTCAAAAGGTTGTCAACGCATCTGTAACCCTCGAGAGTGGCAGATGTCCATGGGCGGCGGTATTCACTTAACATCAGGTGAACCGTCTGCTCGTTCGACAATATTTCGCATAAAAAAAAAACCCGTAATCTAAAGTGGGGCGACATGGTGGACTATGCCTTAATAATAATAATAATAATTTCAATTCCTCTCGGCGGTGAGGAAATAAACTTTTACTGAATTTTTGTACAAATTTAAAATTTCATATTAAGTGCAGAGAAATTAAATATAAAAAATTAGATATCCTTTTAAAAATGGAACGAAGCAAAATATATTATGTATTTAGAGCTATAAAAAATGTACTATAAAAATATACACGCGATATAAAAAGAAGATTCCGAGCGATAAGCTTTCACAGATAATCAAGATGCTTACGGTCGAGCAAGACATTAGCTGGCCGTAAACAAATTGCTCCCCGGTAGGCAATGAGATACGGAAAAAGAAAACAAAACGCACGGAACGCTATTCAAACAGAACACGGCGCTCATTACTAATAGCGGGGCCGTTAAATTATCGCTGACAGCCTTGCTCGCCCAGTGAAAGGTTACCGGGCGCGGTGGGCGGGCGTGCCGGTGTCCTTGTCGATTACAGGTTTCGAAATGTCGTGCTTTATGTTACGTGTTGATCTATTATCGTTTCGATTATCTTCGCCATGCTCTCCCGCTTGATGAATTTTACGTGGCCGTTTGAACTTTGAGCCGTGTACGCTTTATTATTATCGATATCACTTCTGACTCTCATTGCTGGCAGACCAAAATTGGTCAAGCTATAAAGCTTTCTAAGCTATAAAATGAAACATGGCGCGATACGCGTATAAGAATTCCTCTATTCACACATGTCCCACAGCTGGGCAAAGACTTCCTCCGTGCAAAGGATATTGGGACATAGTCCACCCGCGACCCCACTGCGGATCGGCGGACCTCGCATATTTTTGAAATATTTTTTTTACTGTTGATTTACTGTGTAAATTACTGGTTCCTTCACCTTACAGCAAAGCTCTTACTTCGTCGTCCATGCTCTTATAGTTTCTATGTCGTAGCATTCGAACAAGTCGGCAGCAAGAAAACACGTTAAGACTACGGTATACGGTTACCGATTGGAATAAAACACCGGCTTGGTGAAACTACGTATGACGTTGTAAAGGCTGAAAGCGTACGCTTTCCAGAAGCCACTCTTGTGAATCGAGTTTCTTATTTAGTGGCTATCCTATCAAATTAGATCCCGATTGTAACATTCACTTTACTTCAAATGTAAAGAAAACACACTAGATGACGCCAAAAATTGCTTAAAGCAGCCTCGACGCGACGTAAAGCTTTCCTTTCATTTTTCTATATATGAATAACAAAAATGGTGTTACTTTATCTAAAGCTCATTCAGTTTTCTCTTGTTCCAGTTAAAGATGGCGTTATTATGGTGTTTGGTGGTGTGCACGCTGGCTGCTGTGCGTGCACAGTCGAACTACGACTCCCAGGCCAACAATATCGAGTACCAGGGAGAGGGGCTCCCAGAGCAAACGGTTCTGGATGGGAAGGTCAGTATGAGTAATGGAAAACTCTGTTGGGACATTTGATACGACGTGTCAAGGTATAAGAGGCAGTGCAAGTGTGCAGGAAGGGATGGATCCATTGGCTGGTTCTTCGTGGTAGTCTGTTGAGAGGCATGTTCAGCAGTGAACTGAAACAGGCTGAAATAATGATGATGATAACTATAGAAGGTTATAAAACAGTTAACAGATATAGCACCGATTCTCCGTAGCATTATAGAATGTAATAACACTTCTGGTACGTCATCAAAATCTCACCGGGATATAAATATGTGTTTTAGTAGTAGTAATTGTTTATTCCTCGCCTGTAACAATATGCCCCAAATCCGCTTCACGCTTTCTGGGAGTTCGGATAAAAAGTGAAGCGTTATAAAAACGCAGAATAGCCGCTCTATGTGAGTACAATCACCCTGGCCGTGACCAATTTGACTGGTGACCACACCTCGAGTCATGACTCATAAGTGTCAAATACGGAGTCCAATCCTCTTATTTGGGATAAAGTTTTATTCATGGGCCTTTTTTTAGCAGCAACGGTCCATGTTCGCGTTTGAAGTTTGGGAAGAATTTCGCGAGCGGTATTACTTGTATTTTGCATCGCACTCTAATTTTACCACGGCTTGATATTATCGATCTGAACGAGAATTGTTTAAATTTTCATATATTACCGGCGTATAAAACGTAAAAATTACGTATCTCAGATAAAGACGCCAGAATGCGTTAACATGGGCTTTGGATGTCAATAGTAGGCAGATTTCTTTTTTTTTAATGTCAAAACGTGGCAAGCGAGCTGGCAGCTCACCTGATGGTAAGGGTTTATCGCTTAACATCGGCCACGGACATTTGCAACACCCGTTGGGTTGCAGATGCTTTGTCTCCTTTTAATAAAGTGGGCGTCGGTTATCTCACTCACTAGTATGTATTTCTATTTAAAAGTAAGTACTTCCATTTCACACCGGTCTTCTGTGAGGTCGTGGTACTTCCTCGGACGGACCTCATTCGTGCAACAACGAATTGATTAATTTATGTTAGCACATAGCCATTGACGGAACAATTTGTTGAAAGTCATAAAAATAAATATTATATATTTGTAAAACTCAATTGGAAAACATTTTAGAATTACGTAGTTCACTAAATTTCAAGAATACATTAGCTTATTTCTTGACTCTTCAAAGGCAATCGTTCCGCGCAGTCGAGCATCGAATCTGTGACCGATTAAGAAGTGTTTCTTCATAACGCACCTACATTTTTGAAGGGCTATGTTCCGTGAACATTACATCTGTCAGTTGAATGATATTAGAATAAGTCGAATTTAACTGGTTGGAGAATAAATTATATATTCTGTGTTAATTAAAGTATTCAGTGCCTCACATTTCTTTGAAATTAGCTCCGGATTTTTTTGCTTCTCATTTCTATGAAATTAGCTTTACATGTAGCACCATGGCCAGGTCATTGTAACTTGGGAATAAAAATTCTGAAAAACACTCTCCTGTTCAATAGCTATATTGTGAACAAGTATAAAGTCAATCCATCGGTTAGTTTTTGGGTTTTGTGGACACAAACATACGGAAGTGATTTTTATATATCAAGAAGATATACAAATTACAATATAACGTAGGTCTAAAGGAATATAAAAAAGCAAAAAGGACCATAAGAGGGTTTCTTTGGTACCGAAGATGTGTGTAATGCTAGATTGGTATAATGCTGCTTCATTATAAAGCACGAACAGATAAAGTTTGAATTTAGAATTGTATAGAAGAATCCACCATGAATTAAAAAAAATCTTTAATTAGAAAACCATTTATTTACAAGTACTTTATTAAACTCAAAATAACATTAGCTCAAATTTATATAATATTAATATTATATATATTCATATTAAAAACAGTACCAATCTGAGGAAACACAATGATAGCGAATATCTTTTACTGGAGATAGTCAATATTACAGCAATGAGCGATATAAATTATGACCGTGTACAGTTTTCGTAAAAGTAATAAGAGAGCAAAAGATAGCGCAGGAGATGAGTTTCAAGAAAAAAGAGGTCTTATTATGTTTTTAATTCAACTCATCGCGGTCACTCAACAAATCGGCGACGGTACTCACTGACGATCCAACGGAACTGTTTATTACAATGAATCTGCATCTGTTAGAATTTAGGTTGACCACGGCGACGTGATAGCTCTGTGTTCAAACGCTCGCTTTTAATGCAATATAATCGAGCAACCTGAGTCGAAATCCCGGTGCCGGCACAAATGAAATTGGTAATTTTAAGTGCTGGCTTATCACGTGCTCGGCGGTGTAGAAAACCATGGCGAGAAAACTCTTAGAATAAAATATTTCGAATACATGTGAAGCCCGCAGTCGGATCACGTGGTCACGTGGTTCCCTAATCGCTACAAACTTTTCGCAATGGAATCCCTTCTTAAGAAGCACTACTTGAAAAACTTGTATCAGTATGTAGTACTTAGTAAAACAATCAGACACAGTTCACCCCTATCGTCGTCAAGATGATCAGAGAGTCTACCCAGACGGAGTCTAGTACGCTTTCTGGTTTCACAAGATCTTGAAAAAAACTTCTAGAAACTGGTTTCGGTATTAGCTATCAACGGGATCGTCTGCTTGCTTTTTGTTGACGTGCAAAATCCAATTAAGTTCGAAGGAATAATAGTGTTTCTACGGCGTCTTTTTAAGCATTCTTTGTATCTAATGTGATGGGTACTTTAAATGGAACGGCCGGAGTTGTGGTACTTAAGCATTCCAGATATTTAAATTTTTGGCCCAACTTATGTACAATTTGATTAGAGTATTTTTTAGACTGCATGATGCAAACATATTCAAGGTTCTAGCAAAAGGAAAAAATATATATTGCTTGTATGCTGAAAAGGATATAACAATAGATGCGCCAAGCATTGCTTCAAATGCTAAATAACAATGTAGAAAGAAGGCGTTAAGGTTTTCGTCGCTGTGGCTATCAGCCGTTTAGCTCAGTGTCTAGAGCGTCAGGCCGCGAATACCGAAGACGTGGGTTCGATTCCCACAGCGGCGACAATCTTTTCGTCCTTTTTCTACATGTTTTAAAAGGAAAAAATAATTGGCATAGTTTATCATTCATTGCATTAAAGTTCTCAATAAAAAAAACTAAATTTATTTATTTTGTATTGTATTGTATTATTACTCACCAACTAAAAGATTACTGTTCAGTGTCTCTTTTAAAATTGATTTATTCCGCCATATCTACTCATCGGGATCGTTTCCCGTCCGCAAACTCTATTGCATTCAAGCAGTTCGGTGCTCGAGCGATTATGAAGCGGCAGGGAATAAAATACCCGTCGCATTCCGTACAATGTGAGGCGTTATAAATACGCGGGTATTATAAGGTTTATCTTAATGGACGGCTTGCTGCAGCGTAGAGTTATTCGCGTGGAGGCATTGTTGGCCACGAGATATGGTTGTGAACGTTCGGACATGAGCGAAATGATGGATACAACTCTCGTTGCGGGATAGCCGGTGGTGGTATTGCGCGTTCCCGTTGCCGTGGGCGACACGTCAAGGATTTTAGGATATTTAATTTTAAAAAAATCAGTTTTTAGAGATACCACCGTATATCTTAATATGTGGTTTCATGAAGACTGTCTTAGCTTATTGGTTGCTTAAAAAGCCAATGTTCTAATTAAATGGGTGCTTATATATGAATGTTGTCGAACTGTAACTTATACTTTCTATTTAGCAAGATGGTTGAAATTTTATTGACGCAAGGAGTTTATTAAACAATTAATTAATTACTTCCTGTGCATGTATAAAAAAATAACGATTAATGTAACAATTGTGTCATATTATATTATTAATGTAACAAAAAGATTTTCACATTTGATAATAGTTTTCGCTTCTAAGAATCCTTCTTATGTTTACGATATATGGAATCATGTTGCATTTACTATTCGTTTTAAGACGCACACACGCACGCACTCACGCACACAGGCAGGCACGCACGCACGCACACGCGTGCACACACACACATACACACACACACGCACGCACATCTTCTGTTCTTCTTTTTTTTCCACATTTTTTTATTATTTTAAGTTACTCACCGACTGTTTTGCATTTAATATGTCGTATATACGCTAAATTGTAAAAATGTCATGGTTCTTGATGACATTCAGTCATTACTTACTTCTATTTGCTACTGTAGTACTTGGTTTGTGTTGAGAAAATAAAAAATATCATTATTACTATTTATTATAAGAAATGTTTATAGAGAAAGTGCCGTCCATGATCGTGCAATGGTAACAAACTTTCGCGTAGACACAGCCGCGAGGCAATAATTAGCTTCATGGATTTATAGCGAAGGCCGGTGTACAGCGAGACTAAATATAGAATTACTGTTTGAATATTTTCGGTTCCAGCGCCCGCTCCGAACAATAAATCCCCCGTGCTTGACACTTAGTATAATTTTATGTTACTTTTGTTTTTTATAGTTCAGCGAGGGTGAATTGAAATTGTTAAGACCGGTTGAGGTTCAATTTGTAATGGTAAGAGCTTTAACAAAATGTTTTACTTTATGCTCGAATGTTGTAGTGTCAGTGAAATATGACAACCATAATCTTCATACTACGAGTCTGGTTGTAGAATCTATCGAACTGGGCTTTGCGAGATTTGGGTGCTAACGTTGCTGATCATTTAGTTTCTCTAAACAAAATATGGTCAACGAAAACTCCACTGTTGTGTTAATAAAGTCTCGGTAATAGTTTGGACTTAATATATTACCAATGTAATATTACTAGAATGGTCTATTACCACAACAGTAGTTCTTGCGGCTGGGTAATTAGTCTAATGTAAGTTGTAGATTTATTGAACAAACTGTTAATTCGGTACTAAACGGGACTAAAACTTTAGCTATATGTACAGCAGGGCTGTAGTCATTACTACATAATAATTATAAACCACGGCCTCACAAATTCATAGAAGACCTGTGTGAAGTGGAATTCTCAACAGAGGTACTGAGATTTTGATTGTGAACCCACTTACCACATTCATGATGATTTATGTTGATTCTAACGTAATGGAGCTTTCTTCACCCGCCTCCGGATTTCTTAACTACTATTAAAGGAATAAAACAAAGGGCTAATTTTGACTGTTGTTTTTTCCAGGTCACGAAGCTCGACGACTTGAGTCCTGTCATCTTCCTGAATAGGACCAGAGCGACGCTCAACTGCGCAGCGGGTTCAATGCAGGTCAGCGATTACTTTCAAGTCAACTTTAACAACCTTACCACTATCCGGATCTACGTGTTTTAAGTGAACACACAGATTAAAAAACAAAATTCTTATTTTCATCCAATACAACCTGTGGCATTCTGTGGTGTCAATGGCGATGATTTATGAGCTTTAAAAACTAGTAGTAATAATATCCCTGGAAAATATTGTGCTTCGAAGCCTATCACCTGCATATTGATATTATCTATTCAATGTAGAATTTGGAAAGTAAATTAAAATATTTCAGATTGCTTTGGTTCAACGCCTTCTAATTTTTATAAATATTTTCTTTCTTGTAACTGACACAATCGTCAAAGTATAAAATCATTTAAGCTTCCCATTACAAAGTAGACTGTTCTTTGCATCCTCGTAAAAAATAACTGCTTTAATTTCATGTTCTGTTCCATCTTAGTTGAAGGAATGGATACAACAGGGCAAATAATTCAATTTATAAAAATGATAATTACTGTTACTTTTAGATATGATGTTTCGAATATCATGAAATATTAATTATTTTAAGGCATTATGTGTTACTCAGACTATTTATCATTATTCCAGATCGAATTGAAATTCAACGAGAAGTTCTACGGGATCGCGTACGCCGACTTCGATCGGCACTCGCCGTGCCAAGTGGCGGGGAAAGGCGCAAACTCCTACAAACTGGAGCTGCCGCTAAAAGGATGCGGCACTAAACAGGTTCCTGTTTGCACTAGATCGCTATCAAAGTCACTTGTCCGTTTCGGACCCTTTTGTACTGACCGACTGTCGGGCTTTTTCATTGCCTTTTTTCCAAAAAATACATATTCAGTCGTAACGAATGGGATGTTTTTTGCCGCCGCTTTTACAGACTTAGGATGAAATGTTGATAAGTGTGAGAAATAATGGAATCTAAATCATTATGTTGATGGAATTCAGATATGGCTCGTGTGCCATCCACTTTTAATTCAGATTTATTATTGAGCTCCTTTATAATGCTCCTTAATACTATGATGACTCCGTGGCGCAGTTGGCAAGGTATTGGCTTCGGCGTGAGGGGTCGTAGGTTCGATTCCCACACGGGACAACTATTTCTGTGACCCACAGATAGTTGTTTCGTATCTGGGTGTTTGACCGCGTGAAATTTATGTTTGTACAACGTCCTTACAACACAGGATAATGTTATCCTAAAGTAAGGACAATGTTTTTTTAAAAAAAATGAAAAACAAAATAAAAACTCTGATGATTAACTAAAAACCGTCGCCACTTGTTACAACCGATGGGTTGCAGATGCGTTGCCACCTTTAAATAAAGTGGGACATATAAATATAATGGAATATGGACTGGAAGTATATATTCGTTCGCCACTGCTTTTCGAGCCAACATAGCCGCCTGAGCATCTACAGCACATGACGGGTTGGAGATGCTAACTACTATATTTTATATATAACTAAAAACTGGGCTCTGGTTACTTCAGTCACCAGACGAAACGCATAACTATATTTCTTCACTTTACATTAGTTTTCTCTGAAGCCGTGGTACTTCACCACCATTTAAGCTGGTTTTCCGTGGGTCTTTTTCTTTCTCGATAAAGCCTGCCCATTCGAGCAACAGCAGAAGGTACTGCCCTGCCACAGTAGCACCCTATTATGGGAACGAGGAGTAACCACAGCCTTTTTGCAGGATCCTCTCAGAGTCTTCACCAACAACATCGTGGTCCGCTTCCACCCGGGCCTGGAGATGGACGGCGACGAGGTGATCACCATCGTGTGCCGCTACCCGCCACCAATCGTGCCCAAGCCGGAATTCAAGCCGCTCATTTTCACGTGAGTTTCGATCCGGAAACTTTGTTATAAACAAGTTAGATATGAATTGAAGCGTCTTTAACTGCATTAGAACTTTGATTATTGCCAACGCACGGAAAGAATGTATAAAACATCTTAACGATAAAAGTTAGAATAAGTCAACCATTAGAATTTTGATAATTGCCACCGCAAACAAACAAGACAGCTTAACGTATAAAATTAGATTAAACTATCTAGCATATATTTTGGATATATATAATAATAATATCTCACTAAATCATAATAATATCTAAGAAATTAATTTATTGTTCAATGTCAATTGAGTCGCCAAAAGGTTGGTTGAACACTTGGATTTCAAATCAAATTGTTTTTTTTTTAATTTGATTTGAAATCCAATTGTTAAACCTTTTGGCAACTCGATTGACATTGAACAAGCGATTTGACAAACCATTAGTTAATTTCTACGTTGATCAGTCTTTCAGAAACCGGACGTAAGCCTCGGTACTTCCAGTTTTAGAAGTGGTGTTCCTCAGAATGATAATCTTTCAGACCGGAGAAAGGACCGTTGCCAGCGAAAGCACCGCTAGCCGGAACGCACATACTGATGATCATATGCGCCATACTTTTCCTGACGCTACTCCTTCTGGGTCTTGGGGTATCCTACTTGTGCCTGAGACGGCGGGCCCTGCCTGCCCCAAGGCGGCTCATCGACGACTCTTCGGCGTCTATCGTCAGCAGGGAGAGCATACAAGGTAGACCGAACTATATCGTTATTGCTATCGAGTTTAAAAAGTTCAGTATATGTCAAGGTAACGCAATCTGCCTTGGTTTGAAATCAGCTCTTATAAGTATTCAGGTTTTCTTATCCCATTTTGCAGTCTTTTCATTCGTAAGTTTACTTCAACGTGAATCATTTTGTTCTGCTGTTTCGATTTGAGTTTAGTTTACTTCCGAATCTTAGGTAATATCTTTTGATTGTAAAATAGCACGTTTTTCATATACTAGCTGAACCCGGCCACGTTTCTTTTGGAACTTCGTAACGAAAAAGTATTTGAAAACACTATCTTGTTCAACAGCTATGTTGTGAACAAAAATCAGGTCAATCCATCGGCTTGTTTTTGAATTTTGTGGACAAAAACATACTTAATACCAATAAAATTTGAAAAGTTTTTGCCGATGCAGCAATCGAACCCACGTCTTCCGATTCGCTCCCAGACACTGTAACCACTACACTGTTTGCCACACCGACAAAAATTTGAACGTATTTTATCAAAATTGTTTTTTCGCATTTTGAGCAATGCTTGGTGTACACTTTCATTTATCACTTATTTTTTATTTTTAAATGTCGTCTTACAACGATAGTTCAAACAAGAGGTGTCACCTTTGTTATTTGAAATTATTTTTTTTTATAGTGTATTTTAATTTTTTTCTACATGCAATTTTCATGTTATGTACCTGTCTATGAAATAAATATTTAATATATAAAAATACTAGCTGATCCGACAGACGCTGTCCACACACATCTTAAATCCGACAAATTCTTATAAATAAAAAAAAAATTTAAACCATTCTTGAGTCGATCTGAAGTCACGCAAAAGAATTCTTTAAAATCAGTTCTGTGACAAACACACGGACAGAAAAATTATTTATATTAAGATTGACTTAGCGATGTCCAGTAAATTGTTTGAAGTTTTTCAGCGTATGTCCTGTATACAGTCCGAACGCTTACAGTATTCGTGTGACGGAATCACGATTTGAAACCTTATTACGACTGAACAGAGGTGAAAATCCCGCGGGCGCACCCCGTGTACCCGGCGGCGGAGAGTGCAAGCGTGGCATCGGACACGATACCGTCCGACTACCCGTCGGAGACGCCGAGCGAGGCCGAGGCTAACACCAACCAGGCCTTCATGATGGACGATTCCTACCAGAGTGAAGGTAATGACGGTTTTCGGAGATAAAACGAGTCATCGTTGATTGTAAAGGGTTCATTATTATTTCATTTACGAGAAATGTAGAATTGTCCAATATCTAATTTCGTCTCTGTTTCGTTAACTATAGATAAAATGATTAGATTCGAGCTATTTTGGTGCTCATGCTAATGGAACATTATTCCTTATTGGTTAAAAAGAGAAACTTATATAATGTAAACATTAATGAAAAAAGTGTTTTATATAAAATTCAAAACTCTAAATTCAAAATATCTTTATTCAAATAGGCGATTGCGCGTTCTTATGAAACGTCGAATTTTACATAATAATTGATATATAATTTGGTAAAATGTAGGATTCTCTATACAAACTTTTAAATAAATAATAATTTCATATTCCATTTTTTTATGTTTAATGTATAAATCATTAGTTTACTGTTGATGTCACACGAAAAATAGTAAAACAAAACAATCTGTTGCATGTATTACTAATATGTAATAATGACTTAGATTTTTTAAATGATACAAAATTCATTTGTGTGCATGTACCATTTATGTCTCAACTATAATGGAACTATAATAATTTCATATTCATCACATATACTAAAAATTGTGTGTTTATAATAATGCTAACATATTTTAAACATGATAGAGGCGACTTGAAGAACACAGGCTTAAGTTAATGTAACTTACACTTTGATGACCAATCGAACCCAAGTAGGATTCGATTAACACGCGGGACAATTATTTGTGACATGTAATTGTTTCGGATCTAGGTGTTTGTTCGTGTGAATTTTATGTTTGTGTAACGTCCTTAAAAAACGGGATAATGTTATTCTACAGTAAGGGCAAAGTGGTAACAATAAATAAAGCTCAATATAAAATATTTTATAATAACTTTAAACTCAAAAAGATGTTCTAGATTTCCGCGATAACTATAAAAGGTTGCTTGTCGAAACATGGGATAACTATAAAACGTTACATATCCACAAAGCTCAGTTAAAGTTAAAGTTAAGCTCTCAGTTAAAGTTAAGCTCAGTAAAGTCGGAAGTCATTTTTATAAGCGTCCATGTTTAACACAACTTCAGGATGATCTCTTAAAACCTAATAATCTAATTGTAACAAACATACTCGTAGATAATTTGCGCGAATATTTCTAAACATATATCAAATATGTTTATATATTATTAAATTGGTTATTTACCTTGAATTTGAACTACTAAAAATATTGTCTTCTTGGTCTTTGTTTCTGTTTATAACCGAACCACTTACCAAAAACCAACTCAAAACTAAGTACTCTTTGACAATTATTAAAAAACTAAGTACTTGTTGACAATCATGGCATGTAATGGTAACCGTTTGCACTTAACACTGTCCCTACAATTATAACATATATTCACGGTAAAATAACACCTCTTAATCACACTTGTTGTATGTGTACGATTATTAACTTAGCGGTTACGCAAACGGTGTTCATTGTGTGTGGTGTCATGGCGTACCAGAATCACCTGTACCATAACCAACTAACAGGGTACGGTGAGATGCACGAGACTAGCGCCGCTAACGGGCGGTACACGCACGCAGGCATGCAAGCGGCCGCGCATTCGGGCGCCGTACCGCCCGCCTTCGACGTGCGCGTGAGGGTACAACGACCCCCCGCCCCGCCGTCACCGCCCTCCACCATAACGGCCACGGAGGTGGACGGAGGGAGCATCAGGTGAGGCAATGCTGGCCGATAAACGATCGAACAGTTTTCAGAAACTGTTATGTCGACGTAAATGTTTTTTTTATTAATAAAAATAATCAAGTTATTTGCCTAGAAATGTATTATATTGGTGTCTATAATTTTAATACAACAGCTCGCATGTTTCCCGGATGCGGCTTGCGAAAAGCAATCTTTGTATACGTCACATGTATAGGAATTAAAATTATTATTATAACAGAAAACGACAGAAAAAAATTAGAAAAAAAAAATTTTATATTCCTGTGGTTAATATTATTATGTATTTTTAAAGGTTTTAATAGTAAGGAATTAAACAACTCAATTGGACACAAATAAAATAATCATAGTAAATAAAATGTATATATTTCAATAAAATATAATATTTAATGTCTGTAACAACAATAATTATAATTATGTTGAAAAGTACCACCAAACAAAACAGAAAACAGTAACACAATTTTATTACTAGTTTAGATATTCATTGATATCATAAAAGAAACGTGTATGCAGCCAATGGCTAAATTAGTTTATGGTGGCGTAGTTTCTAAGCTGTAGAGTACTGCTTGGTCGTAGGCTCGTTTCTCGAGGACATATTATTACGAGTGTCCTAAAAGTAATTAAAGAAATAGTTAACGTTTTTATTGAGGTGCCAAGCGAGCGGGCGGTTCACCTGATGCCAAATGATTATCACCACCAATGAACATCTCACAACACCTTTAGAGTTGCATATTCATAGCGAATCTCTAAAAGAGTGGTCTCTTACCTGGCTCGACAGATAAAATACAAATGAAAAAACAGAAGTTGGTTCATGGGAGGCACTCTGCCCATTCACGCAAAAGCTGTTGACTACACAAAAGTAAAGCACCAAGTTGTTCTCATGCGATGTTGTTGATTGCAGGCATACAATGCTTGAGGAGCACGAGAGGCAGGAGTCTGTTCGTACCGTGTCACCAGGGGCCCTTCCCCTGCCGGCGAGGGCTGCCCACGCGTCTCCCCCTGCGCGCCCCCCACGGCCCCCTGCCCTATACTCTCAGGTCAACCGCGACCGACAGGTAAACCATAGCAGCGCCTTTAAAACCGGTTGTTTTTTGATGGATGTGATATTAAAAGCACATTGTTTAGGGATAGCAGTATGCTCAAGTTCAGCCATCTTCGGAAAGTGGCCTTATATTCAGGGCTGGGTTGTTTTATAGGTCAAGGACGATCAGGTTAAGTTTTTCACAGACTATTTGGTCATAATTGCCAATTAAAGAAGTCTTGCAGTTGAATTATTATTATACTTAAAGTTGGTGATGCAAGTCTCACAGCACTGTTTCGAATAGTTGGTTGTGGGTTGGGGATTTGGGGATTTGACTATTTGGATAAATCTTAATAATGATGCACTTTTTGTACGTTTAATTTGTGTTTATTACTCTGGTCATTTTGTGTGTTTGTTTTTATAATGTTGAATTATTATTATACTTAAAGTTCGTGATGCAAGTCTCACAGCACTGTTTCGAATAGTTGGTTGTGGGTTGGGGATTTGGGGACTTGAGGATTTGGATAAATCTTAATAATGATGCACTTTTTGTACGTTTAATTTGTGTTTATTACTCTGGTCATTTTGTGTGTTTGTTTTTATAATGTCATTGGTTTTGGAAATAAAAACTGTTTTTTTGTTATTAGGTTATTTGTTTATGTGTTACTGATTTGTACTGAATTGCAGTTCTCATTAAAATGATAACCATACCATTCTAAAAGTAATTAATCAACTATAATAATGATAGCAAAGACCTAATGATTCATAATTCACTCTGATTTAAAATATTAAAGTACTAAAAGCGCATGTTATATGCTAAATTTAACATTTGTAATGAACACTAAACGAAACATAACATACCCAAAAAAGGTTACCACACTTAAGGTTAACCTTCTAAAAGTTTAATTTAATAAGCAAAAAAATGAGAAATCTCTCATTCAGATACTTTAAATATCTATTTATCTGTAACTTATGTCAAAGAATCGATTGAAAACCAAAAAAAATGTTACAACGATTTGACTTGTCTTGGGGATATAAAATAACTTGTCTTGAAGGCACAAAATAATTCAAAAACCTTCAAGAAAATTCTACGCACATCTGCACATTTTACAAAATTCGTCTCCCATGAGCATTGGCAATTGTTCACAATATGCAAGTTGAACGATTGTTTACGATGTGAACATTATCGATAGAACTGTGACTATTAACACGCCGCCATTCAATAACAAAGCTCACGTTCATCCGACTAACCAGGAGTGGGTCCGACCGCCGCGCTCAATCGTCTCTCTCAACACCGAGATGACTGACACGCACTCTGTCACAGAGGTCACCGATGGATCCCATGCGAGGATGTTCCACATCAAGGTAGCACGATTCACGTACCTTCGAGGTTGTGGCGATGCCAGAATTAATTCATACTAATTTATTAAGCTTTAGATTTACCAGAAACTGTTCATTTATACAGTTTCTATACTTTCTTTTTCGTGGGAAAAATCTTCTATGGGTCCCCAATGGATCGGGAAAATGGCAGGGGTATGTGGGAGCCCCAGTCAGAAACGGGTACCCATAAAAACCCACATTGCACCTGTCTCTGTCGCAATGGCTGTGGAAACGGGAATACGTGGATGCAATCTTCCGCGAACAGTTTCTTTACTTTATTCTTTTTAGTTGATTAAAAGTGTTATTGTTAGCAATGCTTCAGCTCCATCCTGGGGACGGTAGGGTTTGGCGTAAAGCGAAAATATATCTTTGAAAATAAAAAAAATTGTCAGTGAAATGAAAAAAAAAAAAAAAAATCCCAACATCTAGCAGTATTTGGCTTAATCGCATCGTCCTGATGATTTCTAGAAACCTCCTCCGCCACCTCCTATGATGACTGAGCGTTTAGAGACGGAGGAACAAGAGTTAACAATGGAGAGCTTGGAGCCGATACCCGAAACACCGATAATGCCAGCCAGGTAATCCCAAAATTAGAACTTAAAAATAATAATGGTTTAGTGGTATATTGACAAATCTGTTGCAGATAGCTTTTTCATTTCTTATCTAGAATTTAAAATCAGACCAATACTTCGACAATCTTAATATCTAGGTGTCACTAATATGTTAAGGAGATTTAATGGGCTGTCGACCATCTAAAAACTAATATGACATTTTATTTATGAAACGTAATATCGTTGACCTGACAATGAGTCGGGAGTTCGTCATTCAAAGGTGAAAACTTGAAACACCCTCAAGCTGAAGCTCATGGGCCAGGCACTAGCTATTTAAACGTAATTTTTGTTAACGCTAATAAAATTGGTACCAACTGTCGTGTCTCAAGTGTCGAGATCAACGTAAACCTGCATGTTTAAGTAATAAAATATTCATCAAGATTATTTCCTAAAAACTTCTCTACACAAGACTGAGTTACCTGTGGGAACTACGCACAATAGTGTAGCAGACTATTTCCTAATAGCTTCGGGTAAGACGAGGCTAGGTCAGGGTACTACGTAGACGCTAAATGAAACATCCGAAATGAAAACCACCGAACAGGAAACCGGAGATCACGTCGCACGTGGTGGACGACGTGTTCCTGCGCACGATAACGGAGAAGAAGACGATCGAGGACATAGAGCGCCACAAGCGGCTGGTGACGGAGTACAGGCAGGTGCCCGCCCCGCCGCCCCAGTTCGACGTGACCATCAGGAACCACACGCTGCCGGAGGCGCAGTGGGAGAACTTCTCGGACATCAGCAGCGCCTCGGGCATGACCCTCACGCCGAAAATGGAGAGGGTGCCGTTGTCGCTGCCGCCACAGAAGTACATCGGTGAGTGGATTTTTTTGTACGCGAGAAAGTGGCAAACGAGTTGGCGGTCGATCTGATGTTAAGTAATAACCGCCTGCCCATGGACATTTGCAACACCCGTAGGTGCAGATGCGTTACCACCTCTTAACAATGTGGGCCCCGGATTGTAATGTACAGTACTCAAACCTATCTGTAGATTAAATATTGAAACCGGTCGTAAGCTAACTAAGCATATCTCTTATCCTTTAAACGAGCAATTCTTGTAAGTCGAGACATATTTTTTCATATATAGTTTACATGTAAAATTCAAGGGTTAGGTTCCACACGGATTCAAAATATAAAAAAAGGGGCATTTATAACAAAGGATACTTTATTATCAAAAGTAAGTTCTTAAAATAATTATATATGCACTTATGAAATAGCTAGTTATTTTTGGTATTTGTGTGTTATTAATTTTAATAATAGTTATAAAACTTTAAAATGTAATCAAAATATGTAATAAGAAATAACAAATTAAACTTTTGGTTTAAAGAAACTATCAATTCTGGATTGCTTCGCTTCTTTCTTCTTGCTATCATACAGATCTTGGTAACACTGATATACTGCACAAATTTTTTTATTAACGTTAAAACTTCTCTCAAAATTAGGATCATTTTCTTCAAAAATTTTCATGAAAAACTTAGATTTAACCTCCATTGTAATTGTCTTTCTTACTCTCTTCTTCACTTTACTATTACTGTCTTGTTTAGGTGGCATAGTTTAAAATTCACTTAAATATGTATGTAAAAACAAAAACTGTCAAAGATAAAAAAAATAACTAATGTATTATTACGCCTTGCTTGTCCGGTGTCATTAATTAAACAAACTCAGCGGCATGTGCGGGGTAATCCCCGCATGCCGAAACCGCGCCCCGACGGCCCCACGGACATTGATCTCGCGACAAGTGAATTCTCCTTTGCCGGAAATCGAAACAAATGACGTATGTTTGAGGAATAGTGTCAAAACATTGTTCCACGTAACTTGAAACGACGTAAGTCGAGGACTGCCTGTATATATAATCGGAATCTCGGAAATGGCTCCAGCGATTTTCATGAAATTTAGTATGTGCGTAGATTCGGGGGCGAAAAATCGATCAAGCTAGGTTTCATTTTTAGAAAATGTCCTTTTACCCCTTTTTACAGGGAATGAAAAACATCTTTCGAATATGACGGTAAATTACGCCGCAAAAAAAAAATTATTATAGCTCGGTCGGTAATAGGACGGTCCCAAAACAGACGGCCGCGGTTCGTATCACGATCATTTACAACACTTTTTTTTACTTTTTTTCTCTACCAGATCATTGCTTTATTTATTTTTTATTTTATTTATTTCCAAAATACATGATTTACCAAAAAAAAACCCGAGCAAAGCTCGCCTCCAGGTACTTCTTGTATAATGAGAGTCAATTGTAAAACGCCTTTTGTTACCTGGCATAATTTAATAGAGCCCCGGATCGTTTGGCAACCTTGAGCTACATAATACGATTCAGAACTTACAGTGTAATAATTTGAAAACTTCTTTTTTCTTATTTCTTCAATTCACAATTTTCTAACCCTTGCAGGTAGCATAGTCTCTGTCTACTTAAAATAATACATTTTTATTTTCTTTTCTTCTAGGTAAAGGTGGGCCAGATCTGTTCTCTCCTGAACTGATCAAGCAGACGGGCAAGGTGTACCAGCCGTCGTCTTCCGATCTACCGCTACTTCCGGAACTTCCACCAGCTCGCAATCCCCTCTACAGGGAAGAAGACGATGAGGACGTGCCCGACCCAACTCCCGCCCCGCCGGTACCACCCAATTGGACTGTTCTGACCAGGGTACTGAAGACCGAAGCTCAGGATGAGGTTGGTGTTAAGCAATAGCATAATGTCACGTCTTTTGATATGGGTCCTTAGACATGGGTTGACAGACTTAATACTATCTTAGACTTTTACGGTGGTAGGGCCACGCAGCAGCCTCGGCTGTTGCACGAATGGGCTGGCTCCTCCGGGTAAGTACCACGACCTCACAGAAGACCGGCGTAAAGTGGAAGTATAATATTTTCGCGCTTCGTCTGGTGAGTGATTTGGCCGAGGCCCAATTTTCAAAGGGTTGTCAATGCATCTGGAACCCTCGGATGTAGCAGATGTCCATGGGCGGCGGTATTCACTTAACATGAGGTGAACCGTCTGTTTGCTTGGCAACTTTTCACATTAAAAAAATCCACGTTTCAAAGACCTTAATGTGATATATCCCAGGTGACAGTTGTTAAGATAACTCTGTTACCGTATATTGGGCCCAATGAGTAAGTGATTTTTGCTTGTGAGTAAAACGCAAAACTCATATTAAGAAATAGTTTACGTATTTTATTGGGTTTTACTTTTGATTTTACGTCCCAACGTTTCGAACCCTTTCTAGCTTTCATGGCCCCGATACCACGATAAATAAATTTCATTTAATATACAAATGTTTAGTTTTAAAAAGACAGTATTGTGCACTAGGTGCTGTCAGAAACGGAGCGCTCATACCGTCTGACGCGCGAGGAGCGTCTCCGCTGGCGGGAGCTGATCACGCACGAGAGCACCCTGCGCAGGGAGCTGGCCAGGTCCTCCACGCGCGAGGAATTCACCAGGGTCGCCCACGACCACCGCTTTGCGCCGCTGTACACGCCGCCCAAGTGGGAGGTCATCATACGCATCCTCGCCCCGCCGCCGGACAAGCCCAAGGTATTTCCGTGGATTCGTAATTTGATAGTTCAAATTTCGAACTGTTTAGCGTTGAAGCTATTCGGCAAGCCGTTCAATCGCGCTCTCTTGTAATTCAATATACCCGAGCAACCCGAGTTCAATCCGCAGTGCCGGCACCAATGAAATTGAATTGTTTCAAGTGCTGACTCGTCACGTGCTCAGAGAAACCTGCATGTTCTCGAAGATTTGTGGAGTCTGTCAATCAGTAGACAATTTTTTCTGTGTTGCCCTCTTGCATATTATTGTTGGGTCCCAATACTTATACTGAGACTTCACAGGACTATCATTTTTAATTTAGTATTTTATTGGGTTCACGGCAAACGTCTTTAGTCCTATGTCTTTCAAGGCATTTCGTTGTTGTCCTCTTGCATATTATTATTTGCAGAAACATGGTAAATAAAGTTTTCCAATATTGACTACAGTCTGTATATTTCGCCTCATTGGCATGCAATTATGTCACAAATAATATAATTAATACTTGTACACTTCTTCACAAATCCGTTAATTCTAATATAGTTTTTTTATTGATTTCGTATCTAACGTCTATAGATAGGCTTTCAGGTGTTTCGGGTTTTCTCAATACTTATACAGAGCCTTCTTCGTACCGTTATTTTAATATAGTTTTTAATTGGGCTCGTCTGTAATGCCTTTACGGTTGCCTTTCATTGGTGTTTCTATGTTGCCCTCTAGCATGTTATCGTTGGGTCCCAAAACTTATACATATATTTCTTCTTCTGCGTTGTCCTCTCGCATGTTATCGTTCGGTCCCGATACTTATACTGAGCACCCTACGCAGAACCGTTACCGTAAGAAGACCGAGTGGGACTCGCGGTCGCGCCGCAGCTCGCTGCCGACCCTCTACGAGTACGACAGCGACGCGACATCGCTGCGGGAGCCGCAGCGGTCGCGTCGCTCCTCCTACCGCAGCGACCATGTCGACATGAGGTGGGGCCTCCGTCTCTTATATCAAACTAGCTGCTGCCCGCGACTGTGTCTGCGTAGAATAGGCCGAAGGCAATCAGACAGAAAGACAGATATACATAGAAATATGTACATAAATTATAGCCTATGTGTTATTCTGATGTATGAGCTATATTACTGTAAATTTTCGTTAAAATCCATTCAGTAGTATTTGCGTAAAGGAGTAACAAACATCCATCCGTACATACAGACTTTCGCGTTTATAATATTAGTAAGGATTCTATTTAAGTGTCTTGTCCTTGGTCTTAAGATGGAACTGAAAACATGTAAAGCTGCCCGGAAGGCGCAACCTGGCAATGGCGAAATAAAATGTTCGACTATTAATCTATACATTTTATATATACACATATTAGTCTTTCTTCTACTAAATTTGTGACTTCTACACAAGGTTTTTTTAAATAATGAACTCGTAGTGTTGATGTTAATTTTAACTCATATTAACTCGATCAATCATGCTAACATGATAATGATAACAAAATGTGAAATTGAATCTCAGAGTCTAGTTTACATTTCCGTTTCTAGATTTCTTACATTTAAAAATCAATGCTCGCGCACATGACTGGTGCGGAAAACTTTGTGAGAAGTAATGCTACCGCCAAATTTGCTCCACATAGCAGGTCTTGCCCCAAAATCTTTGCCAGTTTTACGATATTGAGCATATATATCGTGTTTGGAACTTGAAAATTTAAAAAATTGTCAGCTCTTCCGAGGAAATAACTTAGCTTCACTGTTGACCATTGTATATTTATCACCTTTGTGTTCATTTCCGGAGAAGTTTAGAAGATAGACACAATAGAGTGGTGTTGAGTTGAGAAGTTCATAAAGGATTTATTTTATTTACTTAATTAATAAAATTTTGCTATTAGGATCAAGTCATTTCCAATACAACAGCATCCATGACAATATCTGTGAAATTGATTTCTTACGCAAATATTACACATATTAAATTAAACTGTCTTACGAATTTTATCGCGTTTTAGTTTTGATTTTCAATTCCCGGCTATTCGAATCCTTTCCAGCGTTCATGGTCACGGGACAGACCGTAAAATAGTTTCATGTAATCTGTGAAATTGTTTTAAGAAGGAGTTAAGTCTGTTTGTTACTCCTTCATTTCCAGATCCATGTCCGAGATGATGGTGGACTACGCTAGGGAGCAAGCGGACACGCACTCCGAGGTCTCAGCTGGCACCCTACTCGGCCGCTACTATGACGACGACAGCGACAACGAGCAGCCCTTCAACCAGCACCCGTAAGTATACCTCTCTCATTCGCACTCGACCTTTAGAGGTCAATCATCTTTTAAATTCCAGTGCAAGCGAGATAGAATACGTTGCTTTAACAGTAAACTAAATCAAGGGCACCAAACTTATGGTTCGGGACTTTAAAATGTTGAAGCAATAATGATAACTTCCATTTGCTCCGAGTACATCTCTTTGTATCCACTGCTGGCTAAAGGCCTCGCACAGACTGCTTAGAAGGACAATCACGAGCCGCACATTTGCAGCCTGAGTTCAATCCCCTGTGCCTGCGTCAATGGAATTTTAAGAGCTGATTATCACATGATCAACTGTGAAGGAAAAATCGTAAAGAATCGCCGTTATCCCACACTAGGTGGGGTCGGCACAACATTTTCTTTCTTTCCACTTTCATCTATCGTCTTCCTGTAGATTTTTTTTAAACATTGCCCTTATTTTAGGTTAATGTTATCCTGTGTTTGCAACACGTTTTACATACATAAGGACGTTTTACATACATAAACTTCCCGTGGACAAACACCCAGATGCGAAACAACTATCTGTGGGTCACACAAATGTTGTCCCGTGTGAGAATCGAGCTCACGACCCGTGACGCCGAAGCCAAAACCTTGACGACTGCGCCACGGAGTCATCACTTCTAGATTCTAGAACATCATCATTTATTTTCGGAACCATGTCGTTTTTTCAATTAGTAGCTTTGTTAGAAATCGAGCGGCGACAATCTTTTAGTACTTTTTCTAATAATTTGAATTTTCTACAAATTTTAATTGTAGCTTTGTTTTTATGACCGGGCCGTTGCCTGGCCTCTTTGGGATTTTTTTCGAATGTTTTCAAACTAATAACAAAAAATATTTCGAAGATATTTGCAGTCCGCAGTGGGGTCGGGTGGTGGACTATGCCCTAATACACTCTGTATGGAAGAGGCCTTTGCCCAGCTGTCGGACACAAGCTGTTCCTTACTATCTCGGACTCAGATTTGAATAGCTGTCACCACCGCTAAAATACTGTGATTGTTTAATTTGTCAATTCGCTCATCGCCCTCCGCGGGAATCTAAATTCGTGGAGCAGCGTCCTATACTGTCAATAGGTCAAAATCGGACACGGGAAATTCGACTTAAGCGCCATCCCCTTCCAGGTCCTGGCGGCATTCGCTCAACCGCTCCGTGAGCCAGCCGTCGCTCGCGCGTTCCAACACCGAAGTGGTGGAGCAGTGGACCGCGCCCGACGGTGACGTCACGCCGACCCCCGGCCGCCGGCTCAGAGGTGAACGCGCTGCGATCGAAAGTTCTCGAACGAATGGCAACACCAGAATGTTAACCGTAATCTACGGTTAGCATTCTGGAGTTGCTCCGTTAACGTTCTTCATTCTAGCCAATCTCCAACCGTTTAAGTCTTAGCGGTTGGAGATTGGCTAGCTTAATCGTTACTCGACCTGATTGATATACCGGATTTTTATGATTTGATGGCAAACGAGCTGGCGGTTCACCTGATGCTAAGTGATAACCGCCGCCCATCGATATTTGCAGCACCCGAGGGGTTGCAGATGCGTTACCTTTTAATAAAGTTTGCCCCGGCTATCTCACTCACCAGACGAAACGCAGAAGTGTAACACTTCCATTTCACGCGGGTTCCTGTATGGTCCTCGTACTGACCCGTACGGACCTGCCAGTTCGTGCAAAAGAGAAGACGTTGAACAAATTGGTACAGTTAAATTTGATTGGATTTCCAATACAATAAACTATATTCAAATATCTTATTTCGTTACTTTCAAATTTATTATTATATATGAATCGTAATCCTTTTGTTTAATGGAAATAAGCTCTTCAGGCCCGCTAGAACAATGTATGTAGATTTCACAAACATTCTTCCTATGGATCTATTACACAGTACGCTGTGCATGGCATTTGGCCAGGTAACACTCAAATGGCCAATTTTGCAACATGAGTTTTCATATTTATGTCAATTTAGTTACTCAACTATTGTTTACGTCGTGAGAGCCAATAATTTAATTAAAAAAATCGTTTGTGTAACCCGATGATGTAACTGCCAATGATAAGAAATGAAGTGGTCTGGACGGCAGGAAGACTCTCAGGTTTTTTTATGTGAAAATTTGCCAAGCGAGCAGACGATTCACCTGATGTTAAGTGAATACCGCCACCCATGGACATCTACTGCACCCGAAGGTTGCAGATGCGTTGACAACCTTTTGAAAATTGGGCTCCGGCTACCTCACTCACCAGACGAAACGCGAAAGTATTATACTTCCACTTTACGCCGGTCTTCTGTGAGGTCGTGGTACTTACCCGGACGAGCCTGCGAGCCTTTAGGGACTTTAGAGAAAGAGAAATCTTTGAAAAACTAAGTTGTTTCGTTGTCCTCGAATGCCCTTACCAATGTTTTAAGCGTACTTAAAGACTGTATCGAGTTCTTTTAAAAATGTTAAAATGAGTGTTTTTTTACTTTGCCCCATACGTGCCTAAGCTATGATTTGATTTGTTTAGTGGCCTCGACTGCAGGCCTGATTTGTTAAAAAATAGTCTAAATAAAGCACAACATGTGCCATAAATGTGTTATCCCATGGCACGTGTTGTTAAATAAACCTCTTTCGATTCTCAGGTGCCCAAGGATTGTCAACTTTCACGTCCTCCGAAGTACGAACGTTCCAAGCGTCTAGGGAATGGAGGGAATAGGTACTCACCTGTCAACGCAACGAAAATGCAATGTTTATAAAGCAAAACACAACAATACGATATTTAAAAAAAACACATTTCGAACTGTGTTCTACATTTGAACGATTGAATGTTAAAAAAAATTAAAAACAACGATTTGGAATGAGTAGATTAATGAAAGCAAATTCAAATAATGAAGAAACGCATTCCATATTTGAATAAATGAATGAATGAAGAATGAAGATGTTTCATTCCCTTTAGGAATGACATCGCGAGTATGATTTAAAAGTGAAAACCTATGCTTCGCAGAAATAATTGTGATCAAAATAAGATATTTCATTGTTATTTTAACATGAATATTTTGGAAGATATTTTTACACTTAATATAATTAAATATGCGAACTATATATACTTATGTAACTTTGCTATATAGTTTTTTAAACGTTTTCACTGCCAATCGAAAATGACATTTTAGATGTTTAGTGTACGTAATATTTACAACAGTCTGCAATTGTTACATGTTTTAAAATATCACAATTTTCCGATCGTGGATAATTCGTGTAAGGAATTTATTTATAGAAAGTATTAAGACCGTAATATCTATTCAATGATGCCATGCTTTCCAAAAAGTTTAGTTTTTTTTTATTTAGGTCGAGTTTTAATCATATATGACATTTATCTGTTCATAGTTTAAAGAAAATGTACCTTTCATTTTCCGACATATTGAAACGTTACTTTGTCGTCGATTCAAATTATTTGTAAGGATCATAAACTTGGGAAGATATATTTTTTCTAAATAATATTTTTAATGAATAAAATCAATTAATATTAGATTCTAATATGTATGTTAGTCCTTCATTTTTAAGGCTAATTTTGACCAACAAGCAATATAATTGTACTATCACTTTTATCTTGTATTCAATAAAAAATTTTTTTCACTAACAATGTGCCAAGGCGAAAAAAAAATCTTTTGGCGACTACAAATTAAACGCCACAGACAATATTGCCAATTTTTTTTGCTTCTTGTATTTCTTCGGAATACATTCGCTTCTTGATTTATGCCTGTCAAGGAACAAACGCTTTATAATCTAGTTGTATGTTGTATATTGAGAATTTAGGACGAAATCGAAACTAGCGTGATTTACAAACCCACACTCTGATGGGCCGGTGTCATAGTTTCGGATTCGTCTATTTTCTTTGTAAATAATCACGAGGTGATGTTAAAGCCTAGCACACGAGGCAAGACAGACGCTCGCTTAAAATTTATTAACGCGTTATATAAACTCTTGCCTCGTTTGCTACGTTAGGGTTAGAAGTCGCGTCGGATTACGCTCAAGTAACGGTTGTAGAGTAAGAATTAGACATTTTAACTTGTAATATAGGCAGTGTACTTACATTACGTGAACGATATACTTTTACGAGACGAATAAATAACTGAATTCAACGTTAAAAGAATTAACCCGTAACCAAGAGGTGCTAAATTGCGAGGTACTATCGAAGCGAAGATGTCCGCTTCGGGTGCGGGGTGCGGGGGGATATGATTTAGCTAACATTGTCATTTGTAATCAATATACGTACATTAACAAACGTTTCAAGTTTCATTTGATCCCGTCGAGAATTTCTTTAATTGATACTCAATTTACTTTTACTGGTGGTTTTGCTATCAGAAGGTGGCAAATGAGCTGGCGGTTCACCTGATGTTAAGTGATAACCGCCCTTACATGGACACTTGACAACACCTTGTGGTGGCAAACCACCTCCCATGGATACTTGACACATTCGCACAACACCGCCTGGTGGCAAACGCATGTAACATAAACCAGGACCCACTCTTGGGCTACCTCATTTATCAGACGAAACGCAGAATTGTAGCACTTCTACTTCATGCCGGTCTTCTGTGAGTTTCGTAGTTCTTACCCTTACGGCCCTGCCACTGTTGCACCTGCAACAGCGAACACTGTTGCGTAGCTCTACCACAGTTAAGAGAAGAAGAAGATGAGGTATATTAAAGCCTCATCGAACGCAGAACTCGGCTAGGAGTTTGATACGGTCCTCTGCGTAGCGCTGCGTATCGCTCATGCGTGAGCCCAATCTGGATGCACGTGTCCTAGGGACAGGTCAAGGGTGATAGATATAAGAGAGATAGTGTGAGATATTGCGTTTGGCCTCTCTCCTCATACTCGCGACGACATCGGAGGATAGAAGGAGCAGCGAAAAGGTTTCTTGTTTTAGTACGTAAGAAGATGGCAAACGAGCTGGCGATTCACCCGCCCTTAAGATGACCACCACCCATGGAGACCTGCAACACCCATAGGTGCGTTGTGAAGCTACCTTTTAATAAAGTGGGCCCCGGCTACTTCACTCACCAAACGAAATACAAAAGTGTAACATTTCTACTTCACGCCGGTATCCGTGAAGTCATGATAGGTACTTCCCCGGACGGACCTGCCCATTCGTGAAGTCTGTTGCGTGCGTATTTCGTGAGGTCTGTAGCCGTCGAGATGTGTAGCAGATTAAGAGATGGCAGCAACAGTAGTGATGATGGGGACATAAGCCGTCCATTCCCAGGAGGCACCGCACCTTACGAGAGCACAAAGCGGAATGTCTTATTAATTGATGATTTTAGACAAACAAATACGCTTTATTAATTAGTATTATTTTACGGACTTTGTTGTTACAGATTTGTGTAAAGAAATTCGTAAAAATTAGTTTGTTTTCTTGGATTAGCGCGATTTTAGCAGCACCTTGTAAATGAAATTATTTTAGGTATTTTATCCAGTTTATTCAGGAAGGCGTTGTTCAATACCAGCTCTGTGCTTCAACAACACAGGGTAGGGGTTGATCAAGAAAGAGGCATGTCAAGAGGCTCTAAAACTTCTCTCCAAAATGTACTTACATTTTTTTTATCACGAACTGGCCGTAATAAGATAAAGAAAAATTTTTTAGTTATATTAAAAATAGTTTTTCTTACATTTTATTATGTTGTGTCGTCAACGTACATCAATCTGACCTCCGCCAAACTTTGCGTCAAGATCCGCGTCTTAGGCTTGACCCGCACATTGTAATCCCCCCTGGGATTTCTTCAGTGGCTTCACAAACTCCAAACAAAGCTTGAATCAATTCCACTTTAGGTTTTCTTAAATGACTAACTGGGGATTCCTCAGCCTTATTTGCCACAATAAGGCACACTAATAAACAAGTTACACTTGTAAAAGCATAAATGGAATTGACGGCGGAACTGCAAAATAAATAAATTATTGTTCAATTGATTTATTTTGCAATTCCATCGAAAATATAAGTATTTATATTCGTCATCATTAGACACACAAAGTATTGTTGTGTGTCACTAAAAGGAAGAGTGTCAACGGTTATTAAGTGGTCATTTATATTATGTTTTAAGTGTATTCAACATCTTTTTTTAATAACAAAAAAATCGTTTACAAGGTGACTTATGTTCATCATCATCTTTTTATGGTCAAAAGTTATTCATACAAATTTAAAGTAAAATCATAATTAAAACTATTGACAAATGCAAAGATTTTATTTTGATTTTATTCTTGAATCGAATACAAACAAACACTGCTCATAACGTTCCACTTTGCCAACTACAAGAAAAAACTTTAAATGTAATAAAATCGACGACTAAACCTTGCAGTATCTACATATAATCGTGTCATTAGTTCGACTTTAACAGCTTACAACCGATTAACAGTTATTTCTGCCCATCGGAATGACATCAAAAGATTGAACATTTTTTTTATGATTAGTAGAAATTTCCATCGACATCTACAAAATTATCTAAAAATGTGCAACGAGAATGTTAAATGGTTTAAGAATTAAAATTTGTAGAAAAATCGATGAAAAGAACCTTTTCGAACAAATTTTAATGATTCATCTTAAGTGCAGAGATGTAGACTATAAAACTAAATATAAAAATTTAAATGACTTAAGAATTTAACATAAAAGATTTATGTTATGAGATTTGGCGTGAAAAGAGATAGACACCTAAGCAACAATGATTCCTATAAAAAACGATTTTACAACGTATCTTTGAAATAGTCAACAACATCGCACATATATGCTTAGGTCAACAGAGAGTTTATTTACAGAGTTATAAAGCGTCTTGAACAATAACGATTACCTACTGCGTATGTTGTTCTGTACAAATATGAAATAATGCATTTACAAACAGTTTTAGGCCTTACACTCGAGTCATTACGACAGCACATTGAACAATTGTCTTGACTATCTACGATATGAAGTAAAGTCGAGAGGTCCCCTTTCGTCAGTATATTTGGCAATTCCTTTAATATCCTTGACACTATTTGGCATTTTTGTTCCTCACGATCACTTATCATATTCCGAATGCGTATGAACAGTTCGTCCGTCGTACGTACATGAAAGTTCCTTATTCATTCCAAACCTCGTATCGTTAACTTCCCACAATGATTCTTCTTCGATTAACACAACTAGATTCGTCTAATTTTTATAGTCTTGTAATCTACCATTGTCAATGTTCCGTTTGTTTATATTATTTGAACACTCGGTAAGTTCATCACTTATATATCTTAAATTTGGCTTATGGAGCCGAGAGACTGACGTCTTCTATTCACCTGCTTCCAGAATCTTTTCTCGAAGTGTTTCTCCTGTAAGAATATTACATTAGAGTGATGTTCAACTGAAACTACTTTCAACGCAGCGTCATCATTACTTCATATAGTTTTGATTTTTTAAATTGTGAAGGCTAATGGGAAAATAAGGGGAGATTGTTGTGGAGATATAAAAAAAACAACGTGTAAGGATGCTTTGTGGATTAAATTGGAAATGGAGTAAATTACCTTGCACGACAATAATAACAAAAGAGTGGATCAAACAACTACTTGGAAGAAGACGTGTTTAAAAGAATCCGTGTGGTACAGGATATGGGAATCTTAAGCAGCGGGGCAAGTGAAAAGCGCAACGGGTTTCTTTTTGTTAAAAATATATATTTCCATGAACACACGTTCCGAATTAAATGGACAGATCGTTTTAATAGAACTGAAATTAGTACGCAGCAAGTTAACAAAGCTGGATTTAAACACTTATCTCAAGCGATGGATAGTCACCGTAGCATTCGCACAAACAATAACAGCTTACGAAAACGTCCATAATAACAATTATAACGAAAAAAAATTTTGTTGCACAACACGTTATTACGTTACAACATCGTACAATTAGGTTTAACAATGTAGTTTTAGAATTAAGAAAATTGTTATATTCAAAAGATAGAATATCAAATATAATTTTGACTAGAAATTCGAATAAATTTGTATAACGCTTGAATTACCTTACTAAATAACCAGTTTTAATGCTACGTCTTCCCAATACCAATTTAATGTAATACCTACAGACATGGAAAATATTCGAGTCGACATCAAAAGGCATCATTGTGCACTACTTAAGTTACCATATTAAAAAGTTTATTTATTCTATTTTATTATGCCTATGACTATCTTGTGAAAAGTGGAAGTAAACAATGCTTATTTCTACTTCATGTATTTAACCTTATCTCTACCGATGTTAGCCCGAAATCTAGTTTAAATTTTTTTAGCATAACGATCCTCTATCTAGTGAAATAAATTATAAATGAGATGTTTATTAAGTTCACACTCAGAATTAACAAGTAATTTAGTTTCGTCATTTAAATCCAGCACTAAGAATGCATGGGTGTGGCGAAAGCTGATACTAGTAGCGTGACAAATTTAAACAGATCGTTGCTTCAGAGGTTTGAAAAACGCAACGTCATTGTTCTCAAACTGGACTAGCTTGAACTAGCCGAATAGCCACGCCCATGCGGCGCGCGTGCTTGTCTCACACAGAGCCATTGACAAAGCAAATCTTGTAATAGCCGTGGTTGCTCACGGTCGTGCGTCGCGGCGAGAACGGCCGCTCGGCGCCCGCCATGAAGGGCTCCCGGCGCGGGCTATCGGATGACGCCCGGCGGCGGAGGAAACTCAATCTGCAGAAAAGTGTCGAATAAGAGAGACGGGAAGAGAGAAACAGAGCGAGTAAGAGAGCTTCTTCTATTGCACGAATGGTTAGGCGCAGAATTTCGTTTGTTTTGTTGAATCACGTTTTGTTCGTGTGGTAACTGGGGCCCACTTTTTAAAGGTTAGCAACGGCTCGACAACTCACGAGCTGTTGTAGATGTAATCACATCCCATTGAGGCAGCGGTAATCACTAAACATAATCAATACCACCTGCTCGATTACCAACTTTTCACATAAATTCTTAGGAAGGGGAAGCTTTTTTATGAAATGTCTCGGTTATATAAAGTAAATATATTTTAAATATGCCATTATATATTTAATTGGTTGATCGATCATGTTCATTTGCTTTTTATATTGATACGTACATCTTCCCGTTCTGGCATTGAGAGCGCGTCCGCGAACGCATCGTCTGAGCTTCCACTCGTGCCAGTTGCTCCATCTCCATAAGTTTCTCGCTTTCTGGAACTGACGTTGTATGACGCGTGTATAGCTTATCGAATGCTTTTCAACATAAACTACAGTCTCCCACGTGCTGCATTAATGTTGCAGAGAATTATTATTATAGAAAACGGAGTATATAAATTATACTACTCGTAGTGATTGCTCTGCACAGATCTCTGTTTCTATTTCCGTTACTTTTGTAACGGGAATTTAATCGGAATACTGTGGGTAAATTAATAGAAAGTGGTTGCTTTACATACTTTTTAAACTTCCGTTTCCGTTTCCCCTTTGACTTTATATTGATTTTTGTTTTTGTTGTCATTTTGTTTAGTTGCCTCGCTAGATCATAGCAAGCCCGGGATGACGTCAGCATATTTTCGGGTGTTATGTTTGACAAATCTTTAGATAGTATATAGCACGGATTGAAAGTGAACACTTCCATTTTAAAGATATGATACGGGGTAGATATTTACGAGAAAGATATTAATTTCTTTTATATTATAGTATTATTATAGTTAATTTATATTATAGTATAAGGTTATGTAATTTAAGTAACTGAGAAATTTGCTCTGTGCAGCTGCGGTATGTAACTTTACTTAATTCGTTAGCACAAGGAATTGATTTTTAGGGAAATGTTAAAAAATAAAACTCTAACTTCCAATTATTATCGGCTGCCAATATATCAATGCTTACCATAGTATGGTGGAACAGCATTAAGCATCTAAATGTGTTTGTGTCTCGGGACAGGTTGAATACATACGTTTCCAGGCATATACAGAACTGCGCGAAGTAGTATGAGGGGCGGTTCGGCGTGGGTGCGCGCGGCACAGGGTCACCGCGTCGGCGCTCGCCACCCGCCGCAGCAGCGACCGTTGGCACGCCACGCGAAACGACCAGGGGTCGGACCCGCCACCCTGAGACAAGATACACTCTAGAAAAAGATCCTTACCCGCCACCCTGAGACAAGATACACTCTAGCAAAAGATCCTTACCCGCCACCCTGAGACAAGATACACTCTAGCAAAAGATGCTTACCCGCCATCCTGAGACAAGATAAACTCTAGCAACAGATCCTTAACCGCCACCCTGAGACAAGATACACTCTAGCAAAAGATCCTTACCCGCCACCCTGAGACAAGATAAACTCTAGCAACAGATCCTTAAACGTCACTCTGAGACAAGAAAAACTCTAGCAACAGATCCTTACCCACCACCCTGAGACAAGATAAACTCTAGCAAAAGATCCTTACCCGCCACTCTGAGACAAGATAAATTCTAGCAACAGATCCTTGCCCGCCATCCCCGCCACCCTGTGACAAGATAAACTCCAGCAACAGATCCTTACTCCATCAAATTGTGGATAACTAACACCTTCGGTAGATCCTTACTGCAAATTGTGGATAACCAAGAGCTTCGGCATTCCATTGACACAAGATACCCTCTAACACTAGATCTTTACCACATCATGTTATAGAAAACTATCAGCTTCGGCATTCTATCATTACCGTTTCATTTTATTTACGTGAGACGGTGGCAAGCGAGCTGGCGGTCGTCCTGATGTGACGTGATAACCGCCGCCCATGGACATTTGCAACACCCGTAGGGCTGCACATGCGTTGCCACCTTTTAATAACCTGGGCCAAGGTTTTATAACGTCTCTTTTATCACTCCAAATTGTATCAACGAAACGTAAAATTTATATATATGAAATAGTTAAAACATGTAGAAAAAGTACGAAAAGATTGTCGCCGCTGTGGGAATCGAACCCACGTCTTCGGCATTCGCGGCCTGATGTTTAACACATCAGGCCGCGAATGCCGAAGACGTGTTTTAATGTTCAATCTTAAGTGCAGAGATTGGCACTATAAAAAAAAAACTTTAAAATTTATGAAATACTTGTTATAACTATAAAAAAGTATATGCTAGATCAAATCCAATAATGTTGGTTATTTCTAGATGATCAACATTATTGGCGAAATGTAAAAACAAAGGTCACCCCTAATATAACTACGAGCTGGTACGTAAAACCATGTTAGCCCTGTCGCCCATAGAATAAGGCTAAGGTATCTCCTGTCTTTCGTAAAGGGCGACTAAAAGGGGACACGGACGGGCAGCTATACGAAGTGGTCTCGAGCGGCTGCAAGATGGCGTGGGAATTGTGGAAGGTTTATCATTCTCCAAAGCGAGCGATCCCGGAGTCCTTCCAAACGTACAGAAGGTGGCCGAGGGTTTAAGTGGGTAAGAAACCCACATAACCTTGTCATGTAAGGTGACAGGGTATTGTGTAGGCTTTGAAGATTTACCCCTCCCGATACCTAAAAAAAAGAAAAAGATAAAGCGTGTTACAGTTTTGAAAGCACATGCCTCTTGTTCTGCCAACATGTCCTTCCCCTGGTCCAAAGCCAATCTCATCTCCGCCCGGGGGCTCAGCCGCTCCTCCGGCGATGGAGATCTGACTTCTACCGGTAGGGTGGGCTCCGGGGCTGAGGGGTGCTCCGAAGCTACATCAGAAAGGCATCCTTCATTATTTTTTTCCCACACAATAAGATAATAGACGTGATGACTCCAGCCATCATTGGCTCGCTTTTCATTTTAAATACAAGAGCGACCTGAGTTAGTTACAAGAGTAGAATACCGGTGCCAACTGCCAGCACCATGGTGCTTACCTCTATATGCATAGCAGTGGGACATATAAGACTTTAACCATGATATTAATGTTGAATAAGTCGTATTAGGGTTTCGATTGTGACGTTTAGTAGGGCTTGTTTTGTGGATGCGACATAAAATAAGGCTTGTAGTAGACGCGAATGTACCATTTTTAATTTATAAGTATAGAGGCAAAGTGTTCCTCATTTTTAACTATTTGAATGTAAACGATTTCTTTCGAGAATTAAAACATTATGACGGTATATTGTGATAGTGCATATCTTAACAGATTGTTTAACGAATAGCGGAATAAATTAACCTTTACCGTGATAGCTCACTGTTCGGCCGCTCGCCTTTATTTTAATATACCGCAGCGACCTGAGTTCGATCCCTGCTGCCAGCAATAATGAAATTGTTAATTTTAAGTGTTGACTTATCACATGCTCAGGAGTGAAGGAAAACATCGTGAGTAAACCTGCATGTTTTCGAAATAATAATAAAAAATATTTCGAAGATGTGTGAAGTCCGCTAATCCGCAGTGGGGTCGCGTGGTGGACTATGCCTTGATATCCTCTTTACAGAGGAGGCCTTTACAGTGGGATATGTATAGGATGTTACTTATTTTACTTTACTGGTGTTTTTACTGACCTGGTGACAGCAATTGATGGGGCGTCGGGTTGTGGATTGTGGTACGCTCGAGTGTGGAGGGCGTGCTGGCCGAGCTTGCTGAGCCCCGACGAGCGGCAACACCAGCACCGGCTCGCTCCGCACATTCTTTTGAAACTGCAATTAGGGAAGTCACAAGGAACTCGAAGAAAAAAAAGTCTTCGCTGTTGCATGAATGGACAGGTATGTCTGCATAAGTACCGCGACAGTACACAGAAGGCCGACGTGAAGTGGAAGTGTTGTACTTTTGCATTTCGTCTGGTGAGTGAGGTAGCCGGCAACGCATCTGCAACATGACGGGTATTGCAGGTGTCAATGGGCGCTGACTTGTCAACAGTTGACCCGCCAGGACGATTGCCACCTTCTCCAAAAAAAAATAACGAAATATTTAAGAACTCAAGAAAAATTATGGCTTTTCTTATCTGTGTGCGTACTTCATGCTTCCTTTAATGCTAAACCAACTTCTTTCCAATTTAAATTATTTCCAGTGAGAATCTTATTGGTTCTCACTGGCAGTCTTAAAAACAAAATAAAAAAAATATATTATACAACATATACCTAATTATATGATACATAAGAATAAAATAAGCATTGGGGACGGTAAGGATAGGCAAAAAGAACTTGTGATAAGTATAGGCCAATTCCCTATCACAAAATCCCACATATCTTACTTCTCAATTTTAGTACAAAGTTTTATCAGCTAACAGCTGGTTTCAATATTTAATCTACACCTACAGATAGATTTGGTTACTTGAGATAGATTTTTGACATAGGTATTATGGGGCCAATGTCAAATACCGTTAGTAACCAAATCTATCTGGAGATAGATAGAAAAAGAAATAGAAACCGGCCGGCTTCGAAGTTCGTTTACCAGATTGTAAGGGCATCGATGGCACTTCGTTGGTTGGTGTCCGCTCTGGGCTCAGATCTGACGCGGCGACACCACCTCCCTCCCTTCCAGCATCCGGCGCGCCGGCCGCAAGTCCGTCCTCTGCTGCAAATGTCCCCGCTTGTACCAATTCAATATTTCGAAAATTTCTGTCTAAGTTCTTTGTTAAGTAAATATTCCCAATTCTGATTGCCGAGTACTGCTAATATATGTGCCTATTAAATAAATGGACGAGATAACGCTAAACCGAATAGCTAAATAGAAAAGTTGAAGAGTGTAGAAAATATAAAAGATATTGAAAAATTTTACTTACAGAAACACTATCAGGTAAGCGCAATAAACGTTACATTAGAAGGACAAAAAAGGCTTGTCTGGTGTGTGTGGTGGTGAAAAGTATGCTAACGTAATGAGTCCATGCTAGACTGATGAAACTTAAGGGCAGTAAAGGGGCTGACAACATCAAATAAACATAAATACTGATGCCATAAATAGGTGTATATATAACAATAATGCATGCATCGTGCTTTCTATGGTGTAATCTTTTCTGTTCAGTGTCCTTTAAGAACGTTTGAATTTAGATTTTAACATAATGGAAAAGATTACTGAACAAACATTTTTGACAGTTTATTGATTATATAGAGACTTATACAGATCTCTAGACTTATTATATAGAGAACTATAGATTCGAGATGTAAGCGTTCACTTCTGTAAGGTGATAAAACATGTGAAGGCTGTTGTTTCATACTTTTTAGTGTAACATTTTGTTTTTTTTAAACGTTGCCCTACAATAGGATACCTTTATCCTGTGTTTTAAGGAAGTTTTACAAACATAAATTTCACGTGAACAAACACCCAGATATGAAACAATTATCTTTCAGTTACACAAACAATTGTCCCTTGTGAGAATCGAACTCACTCTCGGCACCGAAGCCAATACCTTGGCCACTGCGTCACGGAGTCATCAGGAATACAGAGAATATCTGAAGTTTGATCAATTAAATTGCGGTCGACGTTTGCGGACTCACCTGGCCCTGAAGCAGAGGACGGTGGGCGCGGCGCGTCGCAGCAGTCGTCAGCACCGAGGCCACGCCCGCTGCCCTGCGCCAAGCGCCGCACCAGCGGACCAGTCACAACGTGAGACATAACCTAGCTACGGTCTACACCTCAAAGCGAGCCAATGAAGATGACGACATGACGTCCTCCAAGTGTTCAGGACATTCCCTGGCGGTGCACGGGTTTCTGCGATACTTTTCCGGACACAAAATACCCTAAATCTATCAGCCAATGTAGGCTAAACCAACAACAGACGTCTTCTAAGGGAGCTATATAATTGATGGGGAATAATTTTGGCATTTACATAGATGCGGGAATTTAACAGCACTTTAACGGATCGGTATAAATTGCCTAAAGGGTTTTCTATCAATAATTTACGTTTGATATGTGCTGATGAAAATAGATAATCTTTCGATAGGAATGCGATGGTGCGTGAACTTCAACTGGTAATCGGCTATGTAGCCATTAATCCAGCAAATAAAACATCGCTATTTCGAGTTCAGCATTTCGGTTTACATAATATTATGCAAGTATCATGCAATGGACATGCTTCCTTTCATCTGGAAATGGGTAAACAGCATGCTGTTATATATTCATTATATTATGCCAAGTCATTATCTATCAACGTATTTAAGAAGCTTTGTTTTAACTTTACTCTCTAATAGAACGTTAAAATAAATTTAACTGCGGTGTTTGTGATATGTGTGTCGTGTATATTTTTAGTTTTAACTGTAGTTTTACTAGATTCATCTAAGATATTCACCTGGTCGTCAGAATTGGTAGGGGTGGGCTTGTTATCCTCACTGTCACTGTCCGAAAATTCTTCTTCGAGCAATGGCTCCAGTCTTCGTCTAAACACATCCCTATGTTATACAGTAATGTTAGTCAGTTTGTTTTATATTTTTTAACAATTGGTGTACGTCAACGAACGTTAAAGCGAGTTTATTAGAAAAGCAGTGCATAGTTTCATGCATTAAATAGGTTAAAATGCAGAAAACAAAACGTGAGGTCCAAAGGAAGGTGCTATGAAGCCCTTAAAAATGTTCATAGCCACGTCAATAGCTTTCTTACCTAGGTAACAGCGGCCTTAAAGTAGTTGGACCCGTTATTGTCGGCGCCATCAGAAGCTCGTCCATCATCAGTTCTGTGTCATCATCTCCTGCGTATGATGACGATGACTTTGTGGACGACTGTAAAGGTTAAGCGTCTGTTCATACAATTTAAACGTATTTACATGTATTATAACACCCATGTCTGTTTTATAGTAGGGGAAATAAATTATATACGGTATGGTTGGTACAGACACATTGGCGCTGAATCGGCAACTAATAGCCATTTTACTTTAATGTATAAAACAATTATATTGCTATTTTTTTTCTTTATTTTTTATTACTAAGTAGAACGTTACATTGAATATGTAACTATGAGTCAGAATTGCAGATTTCAATAATTTTAATAATAAAGTAACAGCATATACATGTACCACTGCTGGGCAAAGGCCTCCTCTGTACAGAAGGTATTAGGGCATAGACCACCACGCGATCCCATTGCGGATTGGCAGACTACACATATCTATCTTCAAAATATTTTTTGTTATTATTTTTAATATAAGCAGGTTTCCTCACGCTAAGCTGACTAAGCTTTCCTTCACCGCTAAGCACGTGATAAGTCAGCATTTCAAGTTAACAATTTCATTGGTGCTGGCACCGGATTTGAACTTAGCGAGCGCCCGGACTCTGAGCTATTAAGGCTCTAATAAGTTTTGTATGACAGACTAAACCTATGAAATAGCGAGGTTTATTCACTGAATCAAGTTTGTACTTCTTGATTGTCAAACGCATACACAAAAAACATTCTGCCTCACCGATAACGTTCCGTGATCAGAATCGGGCAGATTGTCCGACAAGTCCCCAGAAGACGGCGTACCCCAAGCTTCTTCTCCGCTCGCTCCGCTGCCTTCACCAGTCTCCGCCGTACCTTCTTCCGTCCCTAAGTTTGACTTCCAATCGCTCACACCCAAACACCTGCCATACGATATACATATGTTCTACACGTAAAAGTACACCAATTCTCCAATCACAGTAGTGCCAATTAAAATTAGGCTATTTAAAAAAATCATCTACCCGTAGCTATTCTAATGTATAAATTGTTTACAGTCAACATAGACGCATTTCTCTACCAAGTAGCGTAGTTTATCAATTCACTTAAATTTATAAAAAAAAATACTAGATATTACTAAACCTCACGATCCTTTTCTAGCAAACACGTGACTAATAATGAAAGTTGTTTATAATTTAACGTTAGAATATTGTACTATATAGCTAGAGACGATTTGGCTAATTTAAAGAGTATCTGAAACTATATGAATAAGTTTAATATTACTTGGTAATGGCAAACAATACTCTAATTAATTCTTAAAATTGATAAAGTGACATTCTTTAATTTTAAATTAGATATTGGCTTCAAGTAGCCAATATCTGATTTAAAATTCATCATTCAAGATGATATACATAAATAAACAACACGATTATATTTTAATTGTCAACTAAAACATGAGTGGTCTAGCGAAATATTCCTCTAAAAGAAGTTTTTGATAATGTAATCAATTAATGTGGATTAATTAATTTATATCTGATGCATTTAACGCTCAAGGAAACTACTCACATATATCTGTAAAAGTCTAAAGAAACACTCAAAAATTTAAAATAATTTTCAACCGTCGGACATACTTATCGCATTTTGCTTTCTTGAGTCGTTTTCCACCTAAGGCGTGAAAGGTAAAACGTGATTTATTTTAGACCAAAAAATCGAATTATTTGTTTACACAATAAATTTAGGGTGTTTTAAATAAACGTATTTTGGTTATTGTTCCATTTGTTTAAAAAAAAAAATCATGTAACAGATGCAAAAGTTAAAACCAATTAATTTCATTATAGCTTATCTTTAAGTTAAAGATTGCAGAAAACTGGACTGACCTTTCTAAGAAAGACGGCTGCTTATGTGCAATCGAAGTGTTGGGCACGCTCTCTGTGTAACTGAAGATGTTCATCTTCTCCACCACGAAGGAGCCCGCACGCGCAGTCCAACCCATTATACCGCCTGCTGTACCAGTGGTTACACTGTTTGCTACTGGAAAGCCTCTTATGAATAACACTGAATTTAACTTTCAGAAATATAAAGTTTAGAAGGTTTTATTCGAAAACTTTTTTCAAATCAGTTACAATTCATAATTATAGATAAAAATACTACTCATAATTGTTAATGAAACGGCATTGAAATATTTAAAATTAAAAGCTTGCGAATGATTGCCAACTGACAGAAGGTATAATTTAAACATTGAAAATAGCTACCTGAGTTTGATACTTTCGATTCTGGCTCTTGTGTAGTCAGTCTTACGTTTCCATCGTCAGTCTCATCAGATGGTAGCCTCTCTAGGCTTGACATTGTACCGTATCTAAATAAACAAGAAAACGCTATAGTAAAATGAACATGAAATGTAGTGTTCGCAATAACAATCTTTTCACAACATACAAATTTATAATATGTCAAATAATAAAATTTCAATTCTACTCCATACCTTCGTAAAGTAACATAAGGCAGATCTTCGGGCAAATCTGGTGACTCAGGTGAATCGTCAATATTTCCATCCTATAAAAAATACGTTTTAATAACTAAAACTAGATTAAAAATACATAAAGAAATAAAATGATAGCACAAATGAGCTTACAGTCTTATTTGTCGTATTATAGTCTGGTGTCGGGGGAACTATTGTTATGTTGGGTACGGGGGATTCTGATTTCACTGAACAGAGGCTTGCCGGTCTAGAATGGACGTTATTAAGGGCTATTTCGGAACTTCTCTTGAACGGTTCAACTCTCATGAGGTGTGCCGCTGGGTTAATTGCCGAGAGACCCATAAGCATTAGTGGTCCCAATTCCAAATCTTCGTCAGACAACGCATCGTTTGAGTTTGTGTTGGCATTCACGTCTTCTGCCCTATCAGTCTTAAGATTTATATCGCCGTTCATTTTGCTCATAGCCGCTATTCCCATTCTGGGCGATCGCTTCATACCTCGCTCTATTTTGAAATCGTTATCATCCTCGTGTAACGAATCGTCGTCTAAGAACACCGATGACGTTTTAAGACAAGTGCCGACATTTTCTCGTTTTGCAATAATGTTCATCCCTAAAACTTTGTTGAGTACATTTTCTGCCTTTTGCCTCGTTATCTGCTCCTTCTTTACTGATGCTGGTGACGAGGAATAATTTGACAAAGATGATTTAGGTTTACTGAGTGTTATGCTTTCTACACATTTTACTTCGTTGATATATTTCTCTTGTGCTATTACGCACTGAACCTGGTTAGCGATATTGGAATTGGAAGTTCTTAAGTCATTAGAACTCGAATTAAACACCATCGAACTACAAGTCGTGTGACTGGTAGACAATGGGCTATTTCTACTACTAGAAGAAGGGCTCGGAGACATAATTGAATTGTCTTTTCGAAGTTCCAATCGGCTTTTGGTGTGACTTCTAGTCATACCGCTGTTTAAAATTGGAGAATCGGTTTTGAGATCGTACGAAGTGGATTTTAACATCTTTTGACTCTGTTCTATCGAATCAATGACTTTCAGAGCAGCTTTGGGGGCATCCTCCGGACGTATTTTAATAGCACCTTTGCGTTCTAAGTGGCAGAAGAACTTTTGTTTACGGTTATCACAATTAGCACTACAAGTACTAGTGGAACTTTTGTTTGAAAGTGGGGTTTGAGGGGAGATATCATTTTTATTTCTGAGCTGTGTAGGCGGTTCATTTTGTGAAGCTAAGGGGCTATTCGGTTTAGAGAGACACTTTTTGTGGCACTGTCGGCAGACCGGTATCGTGTCCACAACTACAGGACTGGTTCTGACTGTTATCTGTGGAAAAAAGAACAGTAAATTTGATGAACACTATATTATTTTTAATACTATCTATGTTTTGTTTACTTACTTGACTCCCTGAATTACTACTCTTCGACGGACTTCTATCGTTTTCCTTTTTATCGGGCGATGATTCTTTTGTATCAGTATTTTTCGAAATGATGTCGGCGACCTCTAAGAGATTAAGTTCCTTAGATCTCTTCCTTAATTCTTCAATGCTCCACATCTGCGATTCAATACGTAAATACTCTTAATTTGTTCCAATGGAACTGCTATATGAGTGTGTGTTTGTTCACCTCCATATCGGGTTCTGGTGGATCCATTTCTTCGGCTTCGGGTAGTTGTGTCATCCACCTTTGTAAGTGAAGACTTGAGCCTCTGCTGCGTGCGCTTCTAGCTCCATCCGCGGCACTCCCACCAGCGCCCGTTTGTGTTTCCGCCGAACCTTCTGCGTGTCTGGATCGAATATTACACACATTGCAGCGAAAGGCACATTAAGTCTATAATAACTAAACGCTGTTAACTCCACACCAAAAGCTTTATAATAAATCGGTTATGTGGATATTTTCAACCGCAACATCTGGAGTGATATAAATAATTAAAATGGGGTACTTACTTTATTCACACTATGACAAAAGTTTACGGGTCTCATATACGGCTCATTATTGTATCATTTCCTATGCAATATTTCAACATCCTAACTACAAAAATGTGTAAAACAGAACTATAAAAATGTAAAAAATAAATGAAACGATTTATAGTTTTAGATATCTATTATCTTCTACATATTTTAATATCTATTATCTGTTAAATTTTTTAGTGTGGTACAGCCACGCGACAGAGTTTGACGGAGTCTGTGTTCCTTTGCGAATATGTTTTATCAAACCGATCGAACAGTAGGGCCACGCAATAGTCTTCGCGGTTGCACGAATTGTACTATCGCGTTTCGACTGGTGAGGTAACCAGCGCCCATTTTTTAAAATTCTTCAATGCATCCGCAAACCTTCAGATGTTGTAGGTGTTCATGGGCGGCGGACTTTTTTTTTATGTGAAAAGTTGCCAAGCGAGCAGACGGTTCACCTGATGCTAAGTGAATACCGCCGCCCCTGGACATCTGCAACACCTGAGGGTTCCAGATGCGTTGACAACCTTTTGAAAATTGGGCTCCACTTCACTTAACATAGCCTGCTCGTTACAAAATAGAAGCATTTATCATTGTTTTCGATTAGGTCTAACAAAGGCGAGTTAAAACCTGGTTATCTGGATTATATATACGTGGCATCACATTACTTAAATAAAAATGAGTACTCTTTGAGTACGTTATGATGCCTACTGTCTTTTAATATTATGGATGTCGAATATATCGATATAACGATATTTATAAAAATATCAATATCGGCCATAGAAAATATCGATATAGATATTTTTTGTTTAGGAGCCGTTGTCCAAAAAAAAGGTACGGACTCTGTGTCGGATTCGAATTTGAAAAAATATCGTTATTGATGTGATTTCGATATCGATATTTTACATCGATATATCCATATATCGGATCCAAATATATCGGCTAAAAATATTGATATTTTTCGACATTCCTAGTTAATATGTGATCAAAGTTAATAATGCTTAAAAACCGCTAAGTTAGCACGTGCAATCCAAAAGATGACCTACGAGCAATATAGTTGAAAAGTGTACAAATCTATGTTCATTTCCAAGCTTGCTAAAGAAATCTTTTTAAGAATGTATTTAAGTTTTGTCCAAAACTATTTTACAACGATTTATTTATATGTACAGAAAATTGGAGGTTATATATCTATATATGCATAATATACTATGCGACGTAACAGTTTGCATGCATGTAATATATTTGCAAAAAGCGTATTGTATTACACAGAAAAATGGTAGATTTTAAACCACAAAAACTATCAACGTCGCAAAATTTCAGGTAATCATGAAATAAAAATAAAGTACTTCACCACTGACAAAGTTGCTTTATTCACCAACGATTAGAAAATATTGTTCCGATCTAAACACAAACATCAAAATTCATTATAGTCCAAGGTATATGTAATAAATGACCTGGATCGTCGAGTAAAATAGCTTCTCAAAATTACCAATTCATTGTCTTTTTCAAAATTAAATTTTTTTTCTTTCTAAATTTTATTTTTTTACACACAGCCAAATACATCGAAAGTTATTGGATTCTAACTACTAATTCACCTTGTATAAAAGACATACAAAAATGTCACCGGGTTAGGTTATGTGAACATTTCACGATGCTAGCGATTTATACTACGCGATTTCTTTTGCTAAATATGTATGGATTTACGATAAATGCGTACAATTGTTTAACATAAAGCGTCAACGGCGGTCATCGCGTTAAATAAACTACCATTTTTCATTGTAACACATACGGACAGTAATGGCGTAAAGTGCTCGTGATATCAACTAAAATAAGCAGTCTAAATAATAAAGATGCTTTAGTGTATATCTAAGATGGAATATATGAAGTAATATATCGCGAATTTGATCGCCAAATATCCACATGACCTGTACAAAAGATTACAGCTATATAAACAGTTCGATAATGAACTTGACGTTTTATATTTATTTAAAACGTTATCCTAACACAGATACCTATTTCTAATTACCGTCAACAAAGATATTAATAATAAAAGGTTTACGACCATACTGAAAGTACACACGGAGAAGGATTTACACCTTTGCTACTAAAAAGGAATTTAAAAAAGGAGAAAGCATCGTCATAAGAAGAGGACGGAAGACTCAAAAAGCGACGACTTGGTTGTCAAAAAAGGTGAAGGTATAATAAACTCTTACGTATTCACCATATCTTGGTACCCTAAATTTATTATTTGACACAAAGATACTTATTAGGTATTTTGTAAAAAGTTGGCAAACAGATTGGAGTGGCTAAGCGAAAAACGCCAAATAGTTATAAGTACTTTAACTCCGCGCGATGCTAAAACATCTGCAAGGTTTTTGGGACGAGGCTTACTTGATAATTACGTTTACTTCTTTTATCAAAATATTGGAATTTGAATTTTCTTCAAGCCTGAAAATATTTAAAAGCTTTACTACCACAACCTTAATATTAACCAAGTTCGGTAGTTTTCTTTGAATTTTCGTTCAATGTCGTTTCAATCAGACTTTCTCAAAGGTAGATCCGAATTTAGATAGGGCTCAAATTTGACCCGAAAATATGGTATTGGGAAATTCCCTAAATGAATTTCCTGTTCAGGATCCGGTGAAGGCAGGCCTCGGCCAACTCCGGATCCGACTCCGCGGATCAAAGCTCCAGGTAAGCTGGTGGGGTCGGCCTCTCTGGTAAAGCGACGCGCGGCAGTAGGGGATCGTCGGGTAGGAAAATACACTCCTCAACGGCGTGTTTATAAGATGGATCTACGTCCAAATCGGCTAGCGCGAGGTCCGCTTCGAATGACTCCCAGCGGCACGGAGACACTTCGGAGTAGTCTTCGCCCCCGTCGGAGGTCACTTGGGCGCTAGGAGAGGTGGGTCGTTCCTCGTTCCTTTCGATGCTGGACGAGGACACGAAATGGGAGGAGAATGTTTGCGAATCCGCTGGGGAGAGGTTCGCCGATGGGGTCTCTGGTGTCGGCGCGGTCCTCCATACCGAGCTTAGTGGACCTCTAACGGGCTGGGGGAGGGGGGATTCGGAGTGAGGTCCGACATCGAAACTGACTCTGACTTCCTTCTCGGGCCGTTCTTCCACCAGCATATTGAGGTGCGATCGATACGAGCTGGCCGGCAAAAGAGCCATACTCGAGTGGCGTTGGATGCTTGATCCCGATACCTGGCGTTGTTGCGAGTCCAGGGTTGCGAGGGAGAACGTGAGCTGGGGGTCTGGCGAGTCCAGCGGCGAACCGAGCGGCGTGCCCGACATCGTGTGCGCCCGGTATCTGGCAATTTGTAATACGAAGATTAATGGAACAGGCAATAAATCGATGTATTAATTAAAGAAACATAAAAGAGTCAGTGCAGAGTTTTATTTTGAAATCAAAAGATGAAGGGGGTGTCAATTTTTAGGGTTCCGTACCAAAATGTTAAAAAAGAACCCTATTACTAAGACTCCGCTGTTTGTCTGTCCGTCTGTCACCAGGCTGTATCTCATGAATCGCGATAGTTAGACAGTTATAACAAACAAATACAATAAAAAATATTTAAGTGGGGTTTCCTTACAACAGACATGATCTTTTTTGCCGTTTTTATAGATAATTTTACGGAACTCATGATGAGCGAGACAGACTCGCACTTGGCCAGATTTTGTGTTTGATTATATTGAGATGTACATATTAAGAATATAAACTTTAATTGAAAAGGATTATCTACTTACATTTGTCTTTGGAGTAAACTTTGCCAGACAGCCTTCAAATCTATCGAGGGCGCGCGAAGAACTATTGGACGTGACCGTGCAGGCGTTCTTGGCGCGCAGGACACCAAAGGGCTTTCGCCACCAGCCCGTCCAAGTATTAGGCGAAATTCAGTTGCTGCAACAATTTTTATGATTTGCCCTATGCTATTAAATATTTGAAATATGTTAAGGTATTAGTTTCGTGATCGTTTTAAAGTAAAGTAACAGCCTATAAATGTATTTTTTGTCTTCGAAAGATTAATTTTAATATTTTACAACTTTAAATACGGCGATGACTAAAAGGCTATTAACATTTCGTGGTTTTCCAAATTGTACGTGATAATTCAAATGGAGCAAATAAAACTCTCCACGCCCCAGGTTGACTGGGAGAGAATGCCCAAATGGCATGAAGTCCGTCTTTTGTATTCCTTTTTTTAAGGTTTTGCAATAAAGCATAAATAAATAATAAAGTACCGTGTGAAAATATGTTAGCGAAACAATACATTTCATTGTTTTGTGGGATAAGATGGACAGTTGGTGGATATAAAATTAAAATGCAATATATATTACAACATCATTAATTTCTATAACTTGTGAAAAATATTCAATAGCACCGTAAAATTATCAGACAACGACTAAGATTAGATTATTAACGCACCTTTTTTCCTTATATTAAATTGAGCTTCGGATATCATTCCCAAGGAGACTGGTTCCTCCGTGACGAACAGTACCCGATCCCTAGACACTGTGGCGAACAGAAGGAGGTCGCTGAAGAGCAGAGCCCAGTAGGGTCTGACGGCCCGGCCTTCTACCCTGGACAACTCGCCGCCGAATATCCATTGTCTGCCCGGCGTGCTCAAAACGAAAGGCTGAAAGAACGCTAAAGTTGTGTAAGATGTACCGTATTTCATTACGTTTTTAGGGTTCCGTACGTTAAAAGGTAAAATAAGGAATCCTTATAAGATCACTCTCTTGACAGTCTGTCCATGTGTCACCACCGATTTTCTCAGGAACGGGTGGATATAGTAAGTTGACCAGACACTGAGTCTGGTCAACTTACTATATCCACCCGCCGTCCGGGTGGTCTCGGTGGTCTATAGTCCCTACTAGTTGTACAAAAATCAAGGTCCTGAGTCAGCACGATAAAAAGATCAGGGATAAAAAGGTCATAAAAAGATCAGGTGAGCAGGCGGTTTACTTGACGTTAAGTAATGACCGCCGCCCATCGACATTCGTAATACCCGTAGGTTAGCAGATGAGATGCCGTTGCGGATGAGTTGAGATCAACACTTCTACTTCATGCCAGTCTTCTGTGAGGTCGTGGTACTTACCAGGTCCATCCGGCATCTGCGCAACAGCGACACTGTTGTGTATCCTTACCCTGTTGTGTGCCTGAACATTTATAAATCCGAGAGCGTTACGTACCTTACACCTGGTGAACACTAGTCGACTCTCGAGGTCTGCTACTGATAGTAGTGGCTTTCCATCTCCTGCTAAACCCATCAAACCCGAACCAGCCGTTACGTCCTGGTATCCAGTCTGGAATTCAAGATTTAAAACTGGTTTATCCAATTATGATATGATATTATGACCTAGGGAATCGGTATTAATATTAGTTTTATAGATAGATAGACAGATATTACGGATCCATGCTTTACTTACGCTGTAGTAATTGTTATCAAGATTGTCAACTACAGTACAAGCGACAGTACTACAAACAAGAGTACAGAATAGAAAACGTATGTGTTAAATCTTACGGTTTACATACAGTAAGAAAGTGGCTGTGATAGCTCAGTGTACAGGCGCTCGATTTTAATATACTCGAGCAACCTGAGTTCGATCCCCGGTGTCGGCACCAATGAAATTGTCAATTTTAAGTGCTGAACTATCACGTGCTCCGCAGTGAAGGAGAGCGGTGAAAGAGAAGGTCGTGAGGAAACCTGCATGTTTTCGAAATAATAATAAAAAAAAATATTCCGAAGATATGTGAAGTCCGCCAATCAGCAGTGGGGCCGCGTGGTGTACTATGGCCCTGATACACTTTGTACAGAGGAGGCCTTTGCACAGCAGTGGGACATGTATAGGCTGATATTTTTTACAGTAAGCAAGACCATAATATTATTTGTAGACATATTTTTTTCACCAACTCATCAAGCAATGTTTAATTAGTTTGGTTTCTGTATTTGTTTATGTAATATAACCTGTAACTGCTCAACGATAACTTGGAGTTGTTTCTTCTCGAGCTGGTCGTAGGGCCCAATTCCATTTGCGCTGGCGGCGGTCCTCATCAGCCTCAGCAGCTCTCTGAATTGCTCCAGCGGCTTGTGCACAAGAGACGTTATGTCCGGTCTTCTCCTTGGAATTGGCGGGCTTGTACAGAAACGGGAAAACGCCCCACTTGGGTCTTTCGATTTTTTCACCTAAAAAAAATAAGAGCCGTGTAGACATTGACAATTATTCATTAGTCCTTTTTTGTGGGTAGGTGCGCGCGCAATAACGTTTTAAAACGCCAAAAGAATTATATATAAATTACAAAAAAGAACCTAATTTCTGGATAGAAAAATTTAAAATATTGTCATTTATTATCAAATAATTATTACCAAAACACAATCGGCTCGTTTCAGTCCTAAACAATACTTCTTATAAAGGCTAAGGAACACAGGAGTCTTTTGTAAATACACAGCGACCACAGTTGAGGATTGTATTTCTCCATCGTCTTGTACCACTTGGTCAAGGATATCTTCGGATAGCCTGAAGATCTACAAGAAAAATTTAAAGTGTTAATGATTTTTATTTTATCTGTATAGTTAATTCAATTTGTAGCCAATAAAATACAACCAGTAAAAATGCGTCATAATTTTATTTATACTTTTGATCGCAGTTTTAATTTCTTTTTTACTTCCTTAGATAGTTTGAGAGAAAGTGATTTCATAATATAGATATTGAAATACAGATTTTATATCATAGCATTAGTTATAAATACAGTCTGTTCTAGTTTTCGTTTTTTCATTTCTCGGTGTACAGTGCAAAACATCCATTATATTACAATACTTAATTCACCGTAGATTAAAGCGGCAAAATTCTAAAATGGTAGCAGAATTTTTCAAATTTATTGTAATAATTTCACTTGTAACGGCAGAATGCTAAGTAAGTACATACAAAAAATTAAAACAAGATACGTGAAAAAACAGGTGACACTGCTGAGATATATTTTAAGGGTTTCCATTCATACCTCCTCGATATTCTGGAACAGAAGCTGATGGTCGCTCGGGGCGATTAGGTCGGCTCTTTCCGCCAATGGCGACACGAACCTCACCAGCCCGAACTGGAGGCACGTGGCGTAATGCTGCTCGCGGGAGACCACCGCTAGCAGCGCGCGTCTCCTCCCATCCGTCGTCACGCCTGGCGTCTGTAAGCGTAAAGGCTTCCCACTTATTTGCTTCGAATAATTCGAGTGAAAATGGCATATGATTACAAAGTTTTCTTTCAACAAACTGAATGTTTCAGCTAACTGCTGGGCAATGGCCTCCCCTGTACGGGGTATTAGGGCATAGTCGGTCACGCGACCCCACCGCGGATTGACAGATTTCATATATTTTCGAAATGTATATTTTATGTCATTATTTTGAAAACTTGCAGGTTTCCTTACAATGTTTTCCTGCACCGCTGAGCAATTGATTGTTCAGCACTTAAAATTAACATTTCCAATGGTGCTGGCACCGGGATATGAACTCAGGTTGCTCGAGTAAAATCAATTAAAAGCGAACGCCCGGACACTGAGGTATTACGGCAATGTCATCTAATTATATCCCGAAAAGATATGCCTATAAAGCTACAGATGAAAATGTGCAGCTTCTTGGTCATTTCGTGATTGCTGCGAAGAATTCCAGCAAAAGAGGGTTTGAAACCAGCCTGGTTTTCGGCTTGTTATAAATATGCCGATGCTGATACATGAACACTTCAGCCGTGATTAACGTAATAATAAGACGGCTGAACTCTAACGTGAGTTCGGTGTCACCCTGATGAAGGACCTCCGATGAGTTCGGAACTAGTACTTACACCGGGTTTACGTGAGTTCAGCCGTCTTATTATTAAGTTGATAATGTCTCACGAAAGTTTTAATAATTTCACTTCAGCCGTGACTATCGAGTACATATTTATGAATTATGTAGTTGCAAATGATCCCATTTAGACGGTGAGCGCTTTTTGTTTCTATTACATTCATACATAACGTTATAATATGCTCGATAAAAGCTGTTACAGCGGCTTTTATAAATAGGTACATTCATCCTTGTAGTCTGCAAAATTACTATCAAAACTGATGTAGTAAGTAATTTAAATGTTTAAGAAATTTCAACCTAGAAAATAAGTAGATACTTATGTGAAAACTTTCTTCTTCGTTAAATTGAGTACGATATATGATTAAATTATGCTTATTTCTGGGTGGCATTTCGTTTGGTATTTTAATTTCAGCAATAAGGCTCCACTGATATATAGACAATTAAGATGTATATATATATTCGGGAAGATTTTGAGAAATGCAATCCGCTAAATTCGTCTATTAAGATGAGCAGTGTATAGCATTCCACGATGGGAGCCCTCCAACTCACATTCTAGTAATACCCAGAAAAGCTATATCACAGTTATCTAAAGCTACAGATGAAAATGTATCATTTAGTGATTGCTGCGAAAAATTGCAGCCAAAGAGGGTTTGAAACCAGCCTGGTTTTCGGCTTGTTATAAATCATGGAAAGGATGGTGCACAAAATGTGTGCCATTTGCTCATTCACATTTTGGGAGGACGCCAAAAGCTTTGGTCTCCTGGCTAAAAAAAAATTAAACTAATATAAAATAAACGAGAACTTTTTGAAGTTTATGCCTCAACGGATTTGCAAATCTTAGCTCGAATACATGAATGATGTTCATTGGATAAATAGGCGCTAACTATCTTTTTATGGTAAAAACTCAAAACAACAGAGTAAAAAAAGCTTGTCAGCGTTATTTTTTCGACCTGTATTCGGGTCCTGTATCCGAGTTCATTCACGGCTATAGAGAACTTTTTTAGGGGTTTTATGGAGCAATTTACTACTTTATGGGGTAATTTACTACTTTAGGCTGCACCACTGGTTACCATCAGATGAATTGGAAGTTGATTACTGGTTGGTTTTTTTTTAAAAGTTACTTTTCCGAGGCTATATTTGTTCTTTAAAATATGTAAAGAATATTCTGTTGCTTACATTTTTGTAAACATTACTCTCAATTTGGTGTTCCTAATCAATTTAATGGATATTAATAATATATTAAAAAAAAAAAAAAAAAAATTTGACACCCAAACTTAGACACAAAGGACCACAACCTGCGAGCATAATTAGATAGAATGATTAAACCATCGCATGTATAGAAATCGCTGGTAGTGGCTGGACGAGGAAAGTGGAAGATCGTGCTCTGTGGCGTGCCATTGGGGAGGCCTATGACCAGCAGTGGACTGCAAAAGGCTGATTGGATTGGATTGGATGTACAGAAAAGTGTGGGTAATGTAGAAAAGATCATAAGGTTTTACTTGCAGCACTCATATTCGTTTCAAAAACCGTACCTTGGTCTCTTATGTTGAAAGTGATTTGTACGAATCAAAACTACGGCTCGCTGATAAATTATTGTCTCAATACATATCGACTAAAATTTGTAATCATGAGAATGCTTAAGTTAGATTGTCACAAGAAAGTTAGTTAATTTACTAATACTATCTTCGTAATGTAATTTTAATCTAATTATGCTGTTGTTTTCGTAATTAATAAATAAATAGTAAGAAATATCTGCTTCCTACTGTGCCTAACCAATACTATCATCTCACTAGAAATAAGGTTTCCGTATTTCAATACACAGCACTGCCGATTTTTTCAGATCAAAACAAACGAACAAACAATTATTTCATCATCTTAATGCGGGAACGAGTCGGTCTCGCGCACGAAGGGTTCCGTACCATCCTTACTAATATGATAAAGGATTCGAAAGTTTGTATGTATGGATGGATGTTTGTTACTCTTTCACGCAAATATTACTGAATGGATTTTAATGAAACTTTCCAAAGATATGGCATATATACATCAGAATAACACATAGTCTATAATTTTTATACATATTTTTATGTATATCTGTCTTTCTGTCTTGTTACGCCTTCAGTCTATTTATTCTACGCAGACGTAGTCGCGGGCAGCAGCTAGGTATCTATAAAAACGGCAATCATGTCGGTTGTATGGGATCCCAACTTAATTTTTTTCTTTTTATTCTGTTTTTTATTGTTGTTGAAGCAGCAACAGAAATACATCATCTGTGAAAATTTCAACTGTCTAATAATCACGGTTCATGAGATACAGCCTAATGATAGACTGACAGATAAAAAGCCAAACAGACAGACAGACAGCGAAGTCTTAGTAATAAGGTCCCGTTTTTCGCTTCGGAAAGGGACCCTAAAAATAATATAAGTAAAATAAAATAAAACAGAAAAGAATTAAAAGCATTAAATTTATTTGCACTTAACATAAGAAACATAAATTAAAGAAATAAAAAGAAAATGTTAACAGGAACCAAACAAAAATAACGCAAATGTTTTTTACAGCTTATAAATATGCTTATTATGGTAAACAAAAACTATACAGAAACACAAAACTAAAACTAAGAAAATATTTACATTAGAAATAATCCTTTCTAATGTAACATTTCAAGAAAATAACACACGATGTATAGCTTTAAAGCTTTAAATAAAAAAAGTAACAAAATAAGTGTAACAAAAATTGGTTTTCTTAAACGTAACGATTCCCCTTTCGTGTTAATAAATCTTAAACTACAATAAAATAAAGTACATATTGTACATTATCATCTAAATGACAATGATAAAATTATCTGTAAGTAATGGAATGTATTACGAAGTCCATTATAAGATCGCTCTAAAAATAAATAACATTATACTCGCAAGACTGTACAAAAACAGGCAACCCTATATAAAACACACATTAAAAACCTTAGACCTACATAGATGATCAAAAGCTTACAATAGAGAATTCCACTAAACATAACTCTAGCACCACAAATAAAATTTTGATTTCCAAAAGGAAACAAACTAATTTCGAGAAATTTCTATAGATGACTAGCACGAATTCAAATCCGAAACGTTAATTCGAACGACCAAAAAACATATCGCTACTGAAGGTACTCGGAACTCTGTCATTTCATATACCAATTAAAAACAAAGAGAGATTAAAAACCAAAATGAAACTCCATGTTAAACCTAATATGTACAAAACGGTAGAAAAAATATCAATATTGAATGATAGAACAAATTTAGCTTAAAGTAAGACCTTGCTACGGTTCGTCAAAGATGTAACTTTTAACGAAATTTGCTAGCTACAATCAGTGCAGCTTTTGCTTAATTAAAAAAAACTGTAAAAAGAAAAGAAAAACAAGTCACAATAAATACTCGAGCCTGTGATATAGTACGGAGTGCTAGATGAGAGATCAGAGTGTGCTCAATAAGTGATCCAACTGAATTCGATCCGTCAATCGAGAGCTGCCCTCCGCCGCGTGGTGAATGATCCGTGGCCGTCAAACAATGATGCCGTTACCGACCTCCTTGGAGAAGGTGACTTGAGGCAGGTGCAGCTTGCGTCTGTCCAGCGACTGGCTGGTCGAAGAGCAGGCGGTGGGGGGACGGGCCGCCGCCGCGGGCGAGGCCACCGCGGTGGCGCGGGGCGAGCGGGGCGGCGGGGGCGTCGACTCCGCGGGGGGCGGGGGTGCGTTCACTTGGCCGAGGCGCGGGCGAACCCCCACGCCGTTCGGCGGCACCCTCCTGAAGGTCTCCAGGGTGAGTGTTTGACCCGCCGACCTGCAATTCGAAGGTAAAACGTCAGTTTCGCAAGGGCAAACTGCTGACCACATACAGCTCGGTTAAGTTAGATCGTGTAAGGTATCGTTGAAATCCAGTTTACACCATTCCATAGTCCATTTAAGGGTGTAAACACTTGAGACCTCTTAATGTAAAACTATGAAAGGATCTTACTTGCATGCAGTAACTTGCATTGATATTAAATAGTCGTGGTGAAATCAAAGAAATTGTGTAGTTTTGATTGTGCGACTTCACCGATGATGAGCCAACAAACTAAGAGATATTGCATGTAAGAAATATCTAAGACATGTAACTAATTAGATAACTAACTAATATTCATGAATGCCCTTTAGGAGGGAACCAACGACTGCGTGATACATGACTTACTTGACGAGGTTCCGTACATCCTCCTCATTAGCCGTAACAACGTTCTTGTTGCCGACGAATACAATATAATCGCCGGCTCTGAGGCCTGCGCGCTCAGCTGAGCCCCCAGCGGCCACCCTTTCCACCCTTGGCGGCCTGGTCCAGACCACTGTGAAGCCAAAGCCACCACCCGTACCGCGAACGAGCCTGTAACGTTGGCAGTTATTAGTATATATTATTAGAATTTTATTGAATGTTGTAGACCGTTTCTACGCGGTATGGCTAGCTTCGGCTGTTGCACGAATGGGGCAGGTCCGTCCAGGTAAGTACCACGATCTAACAGAAGACCGGCGCGAAGTGGAAGTGTTATATTTCTGCGTTTCGTCTGGTGAGTGAGGTAGCCGAGGCCTACTTTATTAAAAGGAGGCAACGCATCTGCAACTAATGGGTGCTGTGTAATGGGAATGGGCGGGGGTTATCACTTAACATCTGTTGGACCGCCAGCTCACTTGCCACCTTCTCGAATAAGGAAACAAAAACGTCAGACTGTGACTAAAGCAGTTGGAAACTAATATCAAAATTAGACGAATGGTAACAGTCGATACGAAAGAAACCTTGGTAGCGTAGTTAAGGACTATTTTATGGTGGTTTATGTTAATAAATTAATTCGAGTTCGCTGTGGCACAGCTACGCATCGGCTGCTGATGCACGAATGGATAGGGCTTCGTAGAGGACCAGTGTGAAGTGGAAATAATATTTAATCCTTTGATCGTTAGCAACGCATTTGCAAAGCCAGAGGTAGGCTGCAGATGTTCCTCAGCAGTCGTATTCACTTAACACGCGGTGACTGCTTGCTCGATTGCCACATTCCCACATAACACTGGTCCAACATTTGATAACAATACAATTGCTATGCACGTGGAGGAGTTTAGGATCCGAATAATACCTATGCAACTATATAAACGATAGCAGTTTCAGTATTACTCTTCTTCTATTATCACGATAAAACGCTTTCGTTATAACGGCGACGGCATATCCTTTAATTTGCACTCACTTTCTGGTGGTCGTGAACGGGGTGCGTCCATTCCTCTGAGCGCGCCTCGGCGCCGCAGGGTCGTCGGGAGGGTCGAGCTCCAAGTAACGCAAGAACAGGTGCTCGTCCGCCTCCCTTTGCAGCGCTGCGGCCACCGCCTGCGCTTGGCTCCCGGACGCCCCCGATGCGGGACCATTCGCCGCCACCCCTGGAATGAAAAGTAAACTGAAGCAACAACCCATAAATGTTCCGCTGCTGGGTAAAGGCCTCCTCTGTACAGAGGATATCAGGGCATAGTCCACCACGCGACTCCACTGCGGATTGGCGGACTTCACATATTTTCGAAATATTTTTTTTTATTATTTATATGTTTTCCTCATTATATTTTCCTTAACCGCTGAGCACGTGATAAGTCGGCACTTAAAATTAACAATTGCGTTGGTGCTGGCACCCGGGATCGAACTCAGGTTGCTCGAGTAAATGTAATTGAAGGCGAGCGCCCGGACACTGAGCTATCACGGCTCTTTAATGGAATGAAAGTGAACGGTTATTAAGTGTCTACTTTTTATACTAAGTTACTTCCTTGAGTATCGTAGTATGACTTATTTTAATAGAAAATGTGTCATGAGAGACAGATTCATTTTTATTTATTTTTATATAAAGAGTTGTTAAGCGAGCAGGTGTTTCACCTTATGTTAAGTGAACACCGCCACCCATGGATTTAGGGGCTTGTGGATGAGTTGACAACCTTTAAAAACGTGAGCCCCGACTACCTCACTCACAGACGAAACGCGAAAGTGTAATACTTCCACTTCACGTTGCTCTACTCTGAGGCCGTTGTAATTCCCCGGACTATCCGACCCATTCGAGCTCTACAGCTGCTATTCTTGCTCTATCTACGTCATTTTCTTCATAGTCCGTGTATACTAGTGAAGGTATATCAAAAAGTTCTAATCCTACCTTTATCGTTGTGGTTCTCTTTGGCGCCCTCGCTGGTGCTAGTCTCTGTGTTGTCTGTGGCCATGTTGCGACGCTCCTCAGTCAAGCGGTCGCCCTCAGCGCATCTGTGGTGCGCTGTCGCCGGCGTCGTGCCCTGCCTACCGGAGGCCTGCTGCAGGAAGTAGATCCCGCCGACGTCGCTCTTAATAGCATCTTTCAGCGGGAACGAGACGCATCCTAGGAACTCGCTCCGCCTGAAACAAACGGCGGGGGGCATGTGCCGTTAGTGGGGTGGTGATAGCTCGGAATGATCAGCAGTCAGCTGGTCTGCGGTACCAGGGAGGCGGAATGGTGATAAGGATAAGTAGGACGATGATGTAGACATCCACATGGCACTTAAATTTCCGTTCCTCTATAGTTATAAATTGTTATGGATATAAGGACAGATAATAAGGCTTGAGTAGTATCATAGACTATCAAGTTTAGAAAGTATCAGCCTATACAATATGTCCCACTGCTAGGCAAAGCCCTCCTCTGTACAGAGGGCATCAGGACACAGTCCACCACGCGGCCCCACTGCGGATTGGTGGACTTAATGATTGAGCTGACTTAATTCATAGACTTTGTTTGAGATAACTATAGATAACCAAATTATTTATTATTAAAATCCATATCAGTAGTGTGAATGTTTTGATAAAATATTTTGAAGAAATTTGCTTTCATTTCAACTATCCATTGCAATAACTGTAGTGGATACATCAGACTACTTTGATATTTATTTACAAAGGTTGTGTTGTTATGCAACAATGAAATAGTTGAAATTGAATGATTGAGTTACTTTCATGGAAGAATCGTTAATTAAAAAAAAATATGTATGCTTAATTTTTATCCTATTAACTGTTTACTAAAGATGAGAACTTTTTGTATAAAATTATCTATTTAACGGTGATATAACAGCAAATTATTGTTTAGTGAAGCTTTTAGGTCAAGTTCTTTTAAAATTTGTTTAATTTTTACCAATATCTCAATCTGCTGAACGTGATTAATCGTTGAAACTCCTTTTAACTTCCTATCTTTGACGTGGGCAGTAATTACATTATAAATTTATTTAATAAGTTCCACCTTCAGTTTAGAAACGAGGCTATAAATACATTTTCCTGCGGATTCAATGTCCCGTTTGTAAATAAGTTTCAAAAACCAATCTTATTGCATGTAATTACAAGATGTTAAAGAGCTTTTAAAAATTTATGTAATAAGCCCATACTTCTGGAAATCGCGGTTTATCATGAAAATTACCACAATGATTTCAAATCCTGTTAATACTATTAACTTTGATGTTAATGACAAATGACCTATTAAAACTATTAATTTTTCTGTTTACATTAGTTTAAATAAAATTACAATAAAAATCAGGTCACCTCTTTATGCATCAATAGTTATCGATAAGATGAGGTTTAGGTATAAAAGACAGACACATTGTTTCTAAACGATTTCCTTATAAACGATACTAGACGAACGCAGCTACGGTTCATTTCAATTTTGTTCCCGTTGTAAATTTGTAATAAAAAGTATATACAAACACCCCAATTCAATAGCTAAGGCGTGTATTATCATTAAATCAAGCCATCGGCTAGTTTTTGAGTTATGGTCACAAACATACGGAAAAGCTAAATCTGAAGCTAAATTTTTACATATAAAGATTTTAAACTAAATTATCTTTGTCTTTGGTTATTAAGAAATCACTCGGTAACATTCATATCACAGGACGACTTTCTTTTGCGCACATACAAAATTCTAACACATGATTTTGCAATTCACCATAGCATTAGAGAGATGAAGAGTGATTTTATCGTGTAGTCATGACTGAGGCGAATAATAAATAATAACCGTATTGATCATGTTAATGCACCGTAACTACATTGTGTTCGACCTACTTCGCTATGTGACTTCTGACGTGACCATTACTTGTTATTTATGGTACATAGCACTTCCAATTTACGATATGGATACAAGGTTTCTTTGAAATTCATGTTAGAAAGTGTTGAACTTAAAGAAATTCGCTTGCACGCATTTATTTTTATTAACTTTGTCTAATAAAAACGATGTTTGTTAAATCGCTCATGACTCTTAAATATACTTCTAGTAATGTAATTAGATTAGATACATAAAACGCTATTCAGTTTTAAACAAACTCTCTTGAGTGCAGTGTTATCGATAAAACTGTTGCCTTTATTAGAAGAAGCCAGAAATAAATAATTAAGAGTTGCAGTTGAGTTCATAGGTGTGGCAATCAGCCGTTAGCTCAGTGGCTAGAGCGTCAGGCCGCGAATGCCGAAGACGTGGGTTCGATTCCCACAGCGGGGACAATCTTTTCGCACTTTTTCTACATATTTTAATGTTCAATCTTAAGTGCAAAGATTAGCACTAACAATTTAAATGACTAATTAAGAGTTGTTAAAATAATTTAACAACTCTTCTTCACCGACATCCATAAACCTGTTATGGCTTCCTTTTCCTGAACATAATATGAATTTTCAGTTTGTGCCTGTCGTAATTTCATATACAGAACACTATTGATTTTCAGCTTAATGTGGTTAACGGTGGTAGGGCCTCGCAACAGCCTCGGCTGTTGCACGAATGGGCAGGCCCGTCCGGGTAAGTACCACGACCTCACAGAAGACCAGCGTAAAGTCATACTTCCAAATGACAAATACTTTCGCGTTTCGTCTGGTGAATGAGGTAGCCGGAGCCCAGTTTTCAAAAGGTTGTCAACGCATCTGTAACCCTCGGGTGTAGTAGATGTCCATGGGTGGCGGTATTCACTTACCATCAGGTGAACCTTCTGCTCGTTTGGCAACTTTTAACAAAAAAAAAAAAACCATAATCGAGGTTTCACCTAAAATCGTTAGACTACAAATCTTATTTTTTTGTCAGGTGATGTACGATGTTACTGTTTTACGGATCAACAGTTTTATTCTTATTTTAAATACGAACAATTTTAAAAACACGTTACTTTACCATTTAATTCTTTCATCGTTTAACCTTTTGATAATGTTGGATTATAAATTAGCTCTTTAAACTCTAGTAAAAGTATACTTGCCGTAAGGTTGCGTGTCAACGTGGTTTAGTTAGCAACGAACTCATGAAAGGTGAAAGTTCGCGTGACCGGCTTGAGAACAGGTTAATCGTAATTATTGTTTTCGTTGATAAAACTTATATCTATAATACGTTTCGTGTTTAATTCTCGCCGATAGTAACTGATCATACGCGTATTCTATAATTCTTCTATATCTTTCTAAGAAATATTTTATATTCCCGATCTTATTTTACTAATTCTTTCTTCCCGATTCTTCTTCTTCTTTCTTTATTCCCGATTTTTATTAATTCTTTCTTTTGTAAATGATTTTGATTTATTTTATGAACTTAGAATCATAAATATGCCCATGAAAGCGAAATAAAACAAGGTCAATGTCAATTACCTTCTAAAATTAATTAATAATTTTTGTTCAGTTAATCGCGTGCCAGAAAAGTTAAAGACTTTCGAGGGTATAAACTTTTAAAAGGTATGGTCTAATTTCATTATACCTTAATAACACAGGGCAGGTCCTAAGCGAATCTAGTCAACTCCATATTTGTATTCGTGATATACTTATGTCTACACGCCTAGAACTGCGATTACGTTCTATGAATTATTATGTCTATATATGATTAGATACTTAGCGTATGTCGCCATAAACGGACATTCTGGAAAGTTCTGTATCGAATATAACGTTGAATACTAATTAGGTGCAATTTGTTTTAATCTACGTCGTATTCCCATTCGTATGCGAAATTTGCTTTTTAAGTTGTCTCAAATTAAACAGCCGTTACCACGTGTCTCTTTACTTTGATTAACCAATAAAATTCGTTGAAATGGCTTTTTGATTTTAATCTTAAAAAATTATTTGGTACTTAAAAGATGTAAACGTAAAACGGTATCAACTTAATGGCCAGTCTTTCCACCGGTTTATTGCGGTTTCACCGGGTTGCGTTCTTCTTTCCTTTATTACATCGATCCTGAAATACCTTAAGTTAACATTTATCGTATACAACACACATCTATACAGGGCGTTCGTGCAACTTCCATCCCTAGGGTCTCACATAAGCTTCTAAGCATGCAACGGGCCTGCTCCACGAAGCCAGTCTCCGTACCCTGCTGTGCGGTTCCATGCGGCTAGTGAGTGACGGGGAGGGACACCGAGTGGTCACTTACGGTGGTGTATGTCACTCCTCCTCGGCAAATGGCGTGCCGTGCGCCGTCTCTGTCACTCTTTCGCGGATATCCGTCGGCAGGCTGTTCTTTCTCGTTCTAGGCTCGGGGGGGTCGCGCTCCGGAAGGCTGTTCTTCCTGCACAGCTGGACGTGGCGGTGGGCGTGCTGGTGGGAGCAGTGCTGGCGCGCTAGCGGCTCCTCGCGCTTGGCTTGGCTCAGTCCGGCAACGGTTTGGGAGACGAAGGACATCTCTTATACGGCCCTCGATTTATGCTTGGTCGCTATCTGATCGGATTTTTACGTCACTGGAAAGTTTACCCCTCTATTAGCCGAAGCAAACGGGCCTTTGAACAGAAACTGTGTTGCTCGCGCCGATTCTCACTATGTATGCGGAACCTCTTTTTTTATTATGCCTAGCCAAAGGTGTAAATACTCCTAAATGTTTAATGTTCATAAATATTTCTCACTTGCATATGCAATATGCTCAATTCATATGAATCAATTGTGAAACGAAATATTTGCAAAAGATAAAGGGATACTGTAAAAGTAGATAATTAAAGAAAACCTCATTGAGACTTATAACAAAAGAGTACGGAACAAAGGCGGGCTTCGAAAATTGAAATAAGGCTGAAAAGATTCTTGAGCGTATTAAGTCCTATATTTTCACCGAGAGAGGACAAAGCTAATGAGAAGGTCACGACAATCGCGGGGTCAGGTTAAAACAGTCGCATGCCTGGTTAAATTTATGTATGTAATATTTCTCAGCGTATTTGTTATGAGTGATAATTATGCATTTCCTAAATAAAAGAAAAAATAACTCTTTGGAAAATATAATCGTACGTTTTAATTAAGCACTTCGAATCACGTGATTGTAAAGACAAGTGATGTAATATATTTTTTCTAATGTTACATCAATAATTTAAATATTCAACAAAATATCCGTTCGTTAGATGTCACTTAATTATTCTTAACGATAAAGAGCAGTCGTCTAATTCCTTATTTTATTTACTGACTTTCAATACAAGAAACCACGATTGTGATGTACACTTAAGTGTAAATCACACTTCTATTCAAAGAAATGAAAGTTTCATCGTAAAGAAAGCTTCGCATGCTATCGTTTATTTTCTTTGTACCGTTTATTGTAATGGCTTCGTGATAACCACCGACGAGATATTATTCTTATGTTTGCGGACTTAAATTGATCTAGCCACTAATGTAGTTCGCTTTTAAATAAACATATCAAATTAAACGTTACAACAGTTATTATTCTAATTAGATTTGCATCGAATTGACGCCGGCAGACAATTCTTTGTTAACTGAATAATGCCTGTCGTATTAGGGACTCATTCAAGTGTTATATTTTATCATTTAACGATGATGAGCAACATTTGACCTGCAAGAATACTCACAAGGTTGAGTAGCCTCCGAAGTAGTCCGCTACGTACAAACAAACAAACACATTTTTGATATCACTACAGAGTTCGTTAGAGGCACGCAGTACCGTGTGCCATTCGAGGGAAGTACCACGGCCTCACAAAAAGCGGTCGTGAAGTAGAAGTACTATGTATGTAACGTTTTTACGTTTCAACTGGTGAGAGAGGTAAACGAGGTCCAATCTTTTAAAGACTGGCAACTCATCGACAACCTCTGGTGTAGTTGATGTCAATTGAAGGCTGTGATCATTTAGCATGGGGCACTCGCCTTATGTTAACTGCCTGTATGTCACTTTGTCACATAAAAAAAAACTATACACGTAACAGATTTCTTTATTAACGTGTAGAAGCAATTGTATTCCAAGTTTCGCTAATTAATTTCACATGCTGTTGACCTAGTCGCAACAGCCGCCGATTAGTTGATAGCATGTCAGAGGTTGGAGTTGTAAAATGGAAATATTTGTTGCAGCACCTCAACAACCACTCTTATTGTGCTTTTTAAAACCACTCTTAGTGTACGTATCATGTTGTATGTAGAATGGTTTAAATCGAATTAATACATTACAAATTTGTTATAAAATTCATACAGTACTCATTGTGACTACATGAATAAACTGCAGAAAATGCTAGATCTGATGATGGCTCATGATGTGATGTTATCACATTGTAGTGATCACATTCTAGTTATCACATTAACGTATCATACCAATCGATGCGCCAAGCATTGCTTCAAATGCTAAAAGACAATGTAGATAAAAGACAAAAGACGTTAAGATTTTCGTCGGTGTGACAATCAGCCGTTTAGGTTAGTGGCTAAAGCGTCAGGCCACGAATGCCGAAGACGTGGGTCGATTCCCACAGCGGGGACAATCTTTTCGTACTTTTTCTACAAGTTTTAAAAGGAAAAAATAATTCTCTTCTTAAGTGCAGAGATTAGCACTATAAAAAACTTTAAAAATCACACCAATATTATAATAACGAAAGTTTGTCTGTGTGTTTGATTTTTGTTCAAGATTTCAGTGAATAACTGTGAGAATTTGGATTTTGCAAACTCGTTTCATCATAGTTAGCTTCCTCTGCTTACCATTTACATTAAAAAACGTAAATTTCTCTGGCGTGGACGCACAAACAGACGCTGACACATTTTCATACTTTTTTACATACACGAATAACAGTCCAACTCCCTCCCTTTATCAGCTAGTAGGTTTGTATGTCAGAGCGGTCGTAGCTCGCTTTTAATTTAAACGACACCGAAAGCCGACATGTACGCTGCACGAACGGTGGACGAGCACGCAACCCACCCTTCGAAACGTCGTCAAATGGAACAAGTCGCCCGGGAAAATTTCAGTGTTCAGTGTCCCTTCTGAAACACGATGCTTCGTTTGGGTTAACCTGAATTGATTCGATTAACTGTGAGGACGTATTTTACGGGTGCGTTTATAAAATCAATCGCTGAGGTTCGGATGTAGAATTTATTTATCTAAAATTTACAAAATTAAATCTTTCTAAATTACATATTATCTTATAAACCTAATCCATGCGACAGGGTACCAAGAACGCTAGCTAAATTTCCTCGCTGAATAGTTGTTGAGTAGTTAAGTTGCTTAACCTTTGAGAGAAAAAAGAACCAGCTCTCTTTTCACCAGCTGGCGTTAAGCCTAGGACGTGAACCTTTCTAAAATTTCGTTGTACGGGCACCCCACGGGCCCAAAGCTTCAACAGAAAATGGCACAAATACGTAATCTAAACAAAGATACCCATATTGCGCCACTTACTTACTTTAGCTTTTAGCTTTAACCCGGCCCTGATCGAAGTACTCCCTTAGATGACAAAAGTGTCTACACAAGTAACATCTCAAACGAGGGCTTTGTCTCTCAACCAAGGGATCAATGTCAAGCCATCGGGTATCTTCATCGTCGCAAAAAATGCCACATGGGTTTAAAAGAGATGGAACATTGATGGAAAATGTTGACGTCAGTTAGCCGGTCGTATAAAGCCTGGCTAATACTATAATTCACATGTTGTGTGACCCCGCCTAGGTGGGTTAAGAGTTTCCGTAGGCAATGCTTAATCGAGACTTATAAGAGAGACTTATATCGAAACTAAACTTGTTATGACTGAAATAAAAATTTGGAGGAGGAGCTTACGTTTCAACGCTAGATGCTTCAAAAATTATGAAATACGAAAATTTGTTCATTCCCGCTTGTTGATGCAACTATTTTATTAGAATAACTCGAGGAGTGGACGCAGCATTAGCTTAAGGCAGCAATGTACTGTAATATAACTTTATACAACGAGTCTACGATACTAAATGCTTCTTCGCAGAAAATATACGTCAACGAATCTGGTAACTGCAAGTTGCCAAGCACGCGGTAAGAGTAAAGGCCCATTTACACGGTGCAAGTTTCTTGCCTGTTATGTACAATTAAATTGAAGCAATAAATAAGTTGCATTGTCTAAACAACAAATGGTCTAACAAATTATTGCGCGCAATTTATTGCATTCAATTATTGCTCTTGTATGTACAAGAAAATGGCATCGTGTAAATGGGCCTTTACACTACGACACTGAATATCAATGAAACAAAATATTTCTTATATGATTTTTTTCCCATTTTGCTCGATCTATGAATTGTTAATACGGATGCGTTGTGACGGTAGACCAAGGTTACATTGTTTTAAGCCTTTAATACATTTTCGTGTGTGTTTTATGTCGATTGACATATTTATAAATCTGTGCTCAACAAGCTATGTAGAAAATTATTTGAGTAGTTATTGTACTAGCAATGGCGTTTGTTTTTAAGATAACAGTCTTGTCAAATAAGCTTGTGCAGCGTTTGTCAACCTGCGCTATCGTTAGTTTTATTTATTTATTTTAACTGTGTTTTGAACTTAACACTTTATTAACTCTGAAATACACAGTTTCATTTGATAATTTCCAGTATTCGCGTAATGTAACAAATTATTTGCCTCTGATATAGATACTAATTCAAATCAATACGTGTAAAATTATTTTAACATAGCAATGAACTATGAGACACTGTTTTAGTGAGTTTACGATAGGAAAATTTTTATATTTACTTTTCTCTAATCATATACTGTTTTTCTTGTTCATTTGTTTTTCTATCTTCTTTGAGTTCGCAAAGACAAAGCTATAAACGTATATGAAAACTTTTCGAGTGGGAGAAAATATTAACGGTTGGGTGATGATCAAGAGGAGGTCAGTAGCTGTTACTTTGCTTCTATTAGAAACTGCGCGAAATGGATACAGTCTGGCTTCGAGCCAACTCCACCCCTACCTTACCAAAACTCGCACACACGTTTTTCTTTATACAACCGATATATAGGATAGCTTCCAGCGCAATATCATCCCGAACTCGCAAAGTTCATTGAACCCGAACCGATGACGTAACTATTCGGAAATTTACGTAAGATCGATCGCGTCGTTCTCCTATCGGGTGACGTTACGTCCTGAGTGTCATAAATTACATTCGGTAATAGTGCTTCGGATCTCGTTAAGTTTTTATGGGTGATGTTTATTCGGCGATAATACTGGCACGCACTAGTAACTGCTTATGGTCAGGGCCGGATTCAGGGGAGGGCAACCGGGGCAACCGCCCCGGGGCCTCCACAAACGAGGGGCCTCCACAATAGAGACTTCAGAAAAATAGTAAACAATAGTAAAAAAGTTTTCCTTTCATATTTTTTTTCGCGTTTTACCTGCAGTACTCTGTACAAACATGATTACATTAAATATTAACAGAAATCAGCAGAAAATAATTTGCGGCCAAGGGGCCTCCACTCCTTTGTTGTGCCG